CATTTTGGAAGTGTAATTACTCTGCTTGTTGTTGCTTTTGGTATTCATAACTTTGTGACTGTTTCTGAATCTATGTTTAGTTCATTTCAGATTAATAAAATCTGTGAAAAGCAGTTTTGGGATTTTTTCCGAATTCTATTCATTTGAATGGGAGCCGTCAAAAAGACTGCTCTGGAAGTTCTTGTAGTTTCAAAATTCTGGGAGCCCTAGTTTTAAAAAGGTGCATTTGAAAACTTTCAGGTGAAAGAAGTTGATATTTTTGCATATGTGGCCTTGTCATAACCCAGTGGCTGTAAGAGTGGGCCGCATGGTAGCAACTTTTGATCACGGTTGTTTCTGCTCCACGATCAATTGTTTTAAATGTTTTCTGGATCAGGGGTCAGTCAGCAGAGAAAACGTATTTATCCTGAGGCATCCTCGAGACTACTGTGATGGAAGTCTTCACACCCCTGTGGCGACGATCCGGGCCACTTGGCCTAGTTTGTTTGTAAAAACCTATGTGACCGTGCCCTAAAGGCACCATGCTGACTACTCAGGCAGTCACTCGGTCACTACAAGGTCAAATATAAAAAAAATATTAACTTCAATTCCACAAGTTGCATTTTACCCCTTTAAGAATCATACTTGTCCAACATGTTCAGGCACTTTCAAAACGACGGACCTTGCAGAAATGACTCTATGATTTACCCTATAAGAGTGATAATCAGTGTTGTTATGACCTGGTCTGTCCTTATGGCCACATTAAACTTTTAAGATTGTACTTGTACACTACTAAGCCTAGTACTCTTTGTTATCTTCACTGACCTCATGACTTATGGCCCTTGATGTAAAACCTTTATCATGAAATCAAACTCTCTGAATGCAAAGTGAAGTCGATCTTGTTTGTTTGTATTATTTTTCTTAGTTGCTGTGATTACACTGACATGAATCTGAATAGTCCAGGCTCATGTCAGGGTTTAGTCTCAAATGTAAACCAAGATTAGGTCAAATTCTACAGAGTTACGTAAATGCATAGAAAGTTACGTGTGTAATTTTATGAGTTGAGCAGATGACTGAGTGTCATCCAATTCTTGGTGTGGTAAAAATATTGTCACCTGGGTGGCACGGTGGCTGAGTGGGTAGCACTCTTGCCTTTCAGCAAGAAGGACCTGGGTTCAAATCCTGATCAGAGCAGGGCCTTTCTGAGTGGAGTTTGCATGTTCTCCCTGTGTCTGCGCAAATTTCCTCCGGGTACTCCCGTTTCCCCTACCACTAAAAACATGTACAATAGTTCAGGGTGAATGAGTGTAGCCCAAGGATTTTTACAAGATTCAAATATTGGATAAGAACGGTAATTGATTGAGGTTTGTTGGTGCAGTGCATGTATTAGTAGAAATGTTCATTAATATTAGTAAACAAGTAGCTTTGTCTCCATTTATAAAATATATTGTACTATTAATATGAAATAGACATGGCCAAACATGTGAAACAATGCAACAATATATGAACATGTGTTATATTGGTTGGTCCTGAACTACAAGATCTCATGGTTCAAGTCCTGCTGGTTCATGTTGAATGCATGAAATATTAGCATTGCCCTGTGTCTGTCTCTGCATTTCATCACTGCGCTTAGTTCATGGAAACTTTTGTAACATCTATAATATTATGTCCTGTCCATGTTGACCTGTCTGAGTGTGTGTGTGGGAGACCAGGGGAGAGGGGCACTCTGGGAAATGTAGTGACCTCCACACAGGGCACAGGACTCCCATCTATTACACTGTCAGCCTGGGAACTGGGTAAAAAGAGGCAGTTTTTGAATCCATAATCATTTGAATGACAAAATGTATATTAAAACATCATCAAGAAACACTTCTCAGTTTGAAAAAAAAAAAAGTATATAAAATAAAATAAAACGTATTTATTCTTCAGTTAGGTTAGGTTAGGTTATTTTTATTCTTTTTATGAAAAGAATAAAAAGAACCTAATCCAACCTAACTGGAGAATAATTGCTTTTTATTTTATTTAAATTTAAATTTTACCTGTTTTTTGTTATTGTCATTAAAGCAATTATGAAAGAATTTGCTCAAAAAGGGGTGGAAAACATTTGATTTGCAATAATATATGTCTGGATTTTGAATAAAGAAAAAATTAAGCGATGAATATAAAAAAAATGTCAAATGGCCTTTAGGTGACTCTCCCTGTAGGAAATGGGAGAGATATTTATCTTGTATGTGGTGATGACATGAGGTGAATCTCAGTCTCCAAAAATAATTACATAATATTTACATGTATTAGATAAGAGTATCAGAAATACTGTCAGTGGAATTTGTACAAAGAGAAACAGCAAAGAGAAATGAAAAATGTCTGATTATATTTTCTTAATAACGCCGACTGTAAAACTTCCTGACATCTCATCATTTCAGGCTATACGTTATATTTAACACATGGGTCTAAAGTGGGAGCTAACAGAGCCGTGTGTTTGACCACAAATACTCACGGGGCAAAGGTTGTGTTGTGGGACAGAGGCACTGACAGTCACACGAGCTTTTATGACTCCAAATGACTACACACTCGTAAAGTAAGTTGTTAAATTAAGAAGCATGTAAACATACTAACCTCTCACGCTGACTTTTGATTTTAATTGGTGTGTGTGTGTGTGTGTGTGTATGTGTGTGCTCTAGTCATAATTGTAAACAAAATAGACTAGAAGGGAAACATAGAATTAGCCTACTTAAATATAATTGCTCATGATTGAATTCACTTGAGTATGAAGGTCACAAAACCAATTTTGAGTTCCAATGATTAGTGCTGAAGGTTTTGAAATCAATCGAAAAATAAAGGGTGCCTACATTAAGCACATGCCTAAAGGGCAGCACGGTGGTTGAGTGGTTAGCACTCTTGCTTCTCAGCAAGAAGGTCCTGGGTTTGAATCTTAGTCGGAACAGGGTTTTTCTGAGTGGAGTTTGCATGTTCTACCCGTAGCTGCGTAGGTTTCCTCCAGGCTCTCCGGTTTCCATCTTCCAGCTCGAGTAGTCCTGACCAAGCCGAGCATCAACATCTGGAGATGGGTTCTATGGCGACCACTGCTCCTGACATAAGCCTTAGCGGCATCAGGATGGGTCAAATGTAGAGGTTGAATTGCTCTACGGGGATTGATAAAGTGCACCTTTAAATTGGTCTCAATAAAACTATATTTCACTTCTCCCTGTTTGTCTCCTCTATGATAAATTTTACTGTAAATTCTTTTAAAGGAATATCCCATTAATGTGGGGTGCCCAAACCACTGTACAGGTTGTGTTGAATTGTGCAGGAAAGGCGCTCTACAAATAAAAGCTGATTGATTGATTGATATAGGTTCACTGCCTGTATGAATTGGAAGTCATCTCACTTTATCCAAATTCGGCCTCAGCAATTTTCTATTTCTATCATCGCCAAAATTCCTTTAGAACACTTTTTATTCCTGTCCTTGATGCATCTTAAGACCAAACTCCAAGCACGAGAAACAGTGCAGGAACATGTAGGCTGCTGTACGCGTGCTCGTGAAATCACAAGACCGGGAACAAGCGCTTAGGACGAAGCCTGTGCACAAAAACCTCTGTCAATCATTGTGCAGACTGTCAATATTGCCGGACATTAATCTAGTTTGCATTTATAATACGACTCTGAGTGCCTAGCGTGAAAATGGGACAGCCGCAGACAAAGAACTAAGTTGCGTAATCCATTTTTTCTGCATCAATGGCTGACAGGTTTTGCCCTATTTTGGTAGGATTTTAATGCTCGGAGAATAATGCACTAAATTCCAATGGGAGTTCAGAAGAGCAGGGTGGTCACTGTTAGACTTATGGTGGCTATAAGCCGCAGGTGGGAGAAGGGGAGCTTAAGATAGCAGATTTTTACACATTATTTACACTTGCAGGATCCCACACATACACACACGATGCTAAGAAATCCACAAGACTGCAAACTTTTGTTCTTTATGTACATGGTGTAATGCTACAAGTGGTTTTTAACACCATGGGAAAAAAGACATCTTGTGCTAGTTGCCAGCCACAAGAGCGTCTGTCTTGTTTTTTCCCCTGCTCGACTCGAGTGCGTTATTATCAAAGTCAAAGTGATACGATAATATTTCATTACATTCATGAGCAAAAATGTGCAATAAAACATTTATTGGATATGATTGGAATTGCTGGCACGAAGTGAGCTCTGGATAGGCTGAAAGAAGAGACTCAGTGTGGGGGCTCTGTCTCTCTCAGGAGAAAATGAAGGTTAAAAGTGTTTGGAAGAAGGAGACTGAGGGAGAGAGAGTCGAGAGAATAGCTTGGCTCTGCATGAGTGGAAGTCTTTTAGTTTAATTGGGAAATTGGCCCTTGTTAATTTGTCTACTAAAAATCCAGAAGTTTCTACGTCTAAATACAGTTGGGTTCTATCACTAGTTTTCACATGATTTGTAAGGGCTCTTTTTCACTCTCTAATAAGATGGAGACAGAGAATGCTTGTCACGTGGCGAAAACAGAAGAAGGACCCAAAATGCAGGACTGCCAAAAATATAGGATTTCATACACAAAAAAATCCTGTTACAGAACTCCAAACTCAAACCAAGACAAAACAGGGACCAAAACTCTATGGACTAACAACAAGGGGAGAGGAGCACATGGGTTTAAATACACAGGAAAGCATTCAACTCAACAGACATGAAGTAACACTGAAAAGAACCAGGGTCAATTTAAAACCAGGAAAAGTCATCAAAAAGTCCACACCATGACAATGCTTGATTTGTCAAAAAATCACAAGTTGTTCACAATTTTACTTTACTATTTACTATTATTACCCTTGGAACATGTCATTTAATTCTGCAATTAAGGGGTAGATTGAGCTCTATATAGCAAACACATTGTCTTTTTCTTTTTGTATCAGCTGCAAATGTCGCTCAAATAAACTATCTGAACCTAACTCTTTGTTGAAAATGTATTGAAAAAAAGGTTAGTTATAGGCCAGCTTTAATGTGTGGTTTCTGTCCCCAGTTTCTGTCAGAGCGAGTGGTGAAAGCCGGGCGGTCGGTGTACTGTGTGATCCTGGAGAAGAGCCGCGGGCTGATCAGAGACAGGAAGCATCATCTCAAAACATACAGGTACGAGAGCACTTTGCAGGTCATGGTGTTACTACAGTCTGTGTGAGAGCTGTCAGAAAAGCTTTTCCCTGTGTGCTGCAGACAGTGCTGCTCGGGGAGGGAGCTGGTGGATTGGCTGATGAAGGAGATCGAGGTCATCCAGTCCAGGAGCCAGGCCGTGGGCATGTGGCAGGTGCTGGTGGACGAGGGGATCCTGGCACACGGTAACAACCACAGCATAATTACTGCGGCAATGTGTGCACTTGGTATTCGAGAGAAAATATACAGACTTCTCTGTATCATGAGGATTTTGAGACTCATGTTATACACTAGAAAAGATAACAAGTCAAAAATAACTTGAATTAGGGGATAGGTCTTGTATTATATAGGCGGGTTTTCCCAATTTTTTGTAAAGAACTGCCCTCTCCACTTTTTGAACAAAAATCTGTCTTATTTGACAAATTGGGAGGACCAATAGTCTTTATGATCCACCCAAAAGTATAAAATCCTCCAATATACTGCACCTTTAAGATTTTCTACTGGGAAAAAGCAAATAAATAATGTAAAAAGAAAAACACATTTTCAGTTGGAATGAGAAACAAAATGGTACTGTGATTCAAATATGATGTGTTTTCCTGGACAAGATTAGCAAATAATAAAAGTACAAATCTAATTGACTGAAGAAAAACATAAAAACTGCCTGAACCAAACGCTAACATAATCTTGTCTATTTTATATCAGTAAATCAGTGCTTACAGTGAATAACTTGAAGTAAAGTTAGTTTGTAGAAAAGATAGATAATGGAAAATCACCAGCGTTTTAAGATACTTTTGGGATCAGAACTGCCATCTGCTATAGTGCCAGGCGGACATTACACCCACAATGCAAGTGATTATGGACATTTGTGTATGCATGTAGTTGTAAACATTGGGGTAAATGTTTAAAATGGGGTCGGTAATGATGATGGTTCAATAATCACGGGTTTTCAGCTGTGATTCCGAAGACACAGCCTCTGTCCAGTCAAGAGCTCATTTTGTCCTAATACTGAGAGCAGAGAGGGCCCACTTCAATCAGAGCAGATTCCAGACAGTTGTGATTGCAGCCAATGGAGCGGCTCTGCTGTGATTGTCCTCATCAATATGTTACAATGATAACAAACAATATCGCTCTTAAAAGCTTTTGACTTTTATTACAAGTCTGAGCATGAAAAGCATGAATCTGATTTCTACATTCTAATCACCTATCGAATGATTTATACTGATTGATTGGTTTTATTTTAGTCATCACATCGACAAAGTTACAGTTCAAACATATGATATAGTATTATGAAAATAAAAGGAATAGGCAGAAGCAATGCTTATTTGAGTCCATACTATTCTCCGTTAGTTCAACCAGCTTTTAAGCTCTATATGTGTGCTGTACTAAATCTAACAATATACAAAAAAGTAACTTTTCATATATTTTTTTAATATTTGCAATGTTTTAAATTGTGAGTAATTTTTTTCAAATCTTCTGTTAATTCATTCCATAGTTTCACTCCAAGAACAGAACACACCTTGATTTCACTTCAGTTATTGCTTTAGTACATTCAGAAATCTAGATTCATAAATTATTACAAGATTGTAATGGCTTTCTCTTTACGAAAGAGATACACTTTGGGATTTTGTCGAGTATTACCCTATAAAGAACTTCTATTATTTTAACTTTTACAATATCACATCGTTTTAAGGTTTTATTTTGTATAAAGAAATGATTGGTAAGATATCCCACTTTACTTACTATTCTATATGTAGTGCATTTTGATTATTTAACCATTCCATTGATGTACCCCTGAGTTTATGGACTTGTTTGTTGATTTGTCCCACAGTGAAGCACGAGCTGAACTTCCTGGACAAAGACACTCAGTTGTACCGCTTCCAGGACTCAGAGTTCAATCTGAACGGCACAAACGAGAAAGTGACAGACGAGGACCTGCAGGAGGCGCTGTCTCTGCTCTCGCAGCTGGGCCCTGACGCACTGCTCACTATGATTCTGCGCAAAAGGTTTGAAGACAATCACGCTCTAATAGGCAAGGCATGACAAGTTTATTTGTATAGCACAATTCATAAGGAAACAAAAGTGTTGAACAGAACAAGATAAAAACAGTGAAATCACACAAGGCATTATAATCATAAATAATCACAGTACATTTAAAAGAAAGATACAAATATAAAACCCCTCAGTAATATTGAATGCTTTTAACCAATTAGGCCGCAAAGTAGCCAAAGTGCTACACAAGCTCCTAAATCCAGGGCACTTTCTATACAGCGACTTGGCTTCCCATAAACGTCTCCCTAGATGTATCGTACATAATTATCCTCTATATTTTCCGTTATCTGTTAAAGTAGTCAACTATCTCTAATCGAGTTACAGGGTGTCACCTCTTTACTCCATTTCTCAATTGGTCTATAATATGTCATCTTGTCCAGTTTGTGTAATCTTGTATTCTGTTTGTGACACCTTTTGAGTGCAAACAGGGGTCCCAATGTGTCTTCATAGTACATCTGTCACGTGGTGAGGTGATGGAGGACTCAAATGCAGGAATGCAAAAAATAATGATTTAATAAAATAAATGTCCGCAGGTGAAAACTAAACTCAAATACCAAGAATACGGAACCAGGAACAAAAACAGAACTTGACACAACGAAACAGGACATTGACATAACAATGGACCAGCAACATGTGGAGAGGGGCACAGGGTAAATATAGACAGGGACACAGGTGAAACACATCAGGGCGGGGCAGACAATCAAGACAGGGGAAAACAGGACAGGAACAACTAAAAACCAAATCACAGAGAACCAATTTCAAAATAAAATAAAAATACAAAAATAAAAATAAAACCCACACCATGACAACATCTACATCTTTAAATTGTTAAAGTGCTATAGAGATTTACGATGAAGCGTGTCTTATTTGCTTATTAGTCCCAGTTCCAGCCAATATGTCATTTATGAGTCATGTGAATTCTATGGTCCGGCTCTCTCCTGGTGGCTTCGTTACAAACTTCTATGACCTTAAAGTCTCATCCATGAATGTATAGTGTTTATTTATGACAACTATTTTACTTAAATCTTTAGGGATCATACAGTTGTAGTTTTACACCAATATTGAAGCAGTTTGTGAAGAAACTTTGACAACACTGGGAAGTTGTATGATGTGACAATGCATAATTATTCCAAAAGTATATTCTAATTCCGTGAACATAAATAAATGTTTTCGTATCTTTATCAGTCATATAGAATATATATGGGACCTCTATCTTATAGGGCCCAGGTCTGAAAATTAGCTGTTAGCTATATGGTCTTGGTTATTTGTAACACTGCTTCTTGTTCTGACATATCAAACAAACATATGGTAAATAAATGAAACCTGCACCATAGATACTTGACTTTGTCTGTGTTGTGTTCAGCCCCAGTCAGAGGAGTGCGGAGGACCTGGAGGTGATCTACGAGGAGCTGCTGCACGTGAAGGCCGCTGCACATCTGTCTACTTCGGTCAGTACTACTCACAACAATTTCACTTTAAAACACTCGGAAGGTCTTTCTTTCTTTGTCAGTGAGTGTTGATTCAGATCATGGGTGGCATTTTCTGTAAACATGTTAAAATGTATTAATTTGCTTGCCTTGATATGACACATGGTTATATAATCATTACTATTTACTTGTAAAATGTTGCAAAATCACAAAAAGAGGGATTATTACCTATTTTGTCTCTCACAGTGCAAAAAGTGATGAAACATACAGGTGTATGTCAAAAGGCATTATTTATGTCAAAAATTGCTCAAAATTGGCTAAATGTATATTAATTTGAGCACATTTTGACAAGGAATAAAAGACGATTTGCCAATGGGACATGCAAAATGTTAAATATGTACTAAATGCCCCCCTTGGAATGAGAAAATGAAAAAAACAGTTCCTTGAAATTAGACAGAATGGCTTTGTCCCATTAGCAAATCTTGTTTTAGGACAGTCAGAATGTACTCACATTAATATACCAACCTTTTGAATTAAACATTTGTCATCTCATATTTTATCTTTATTTGCAGTGCACTATGAAGCAGTTGTGTCAAACCAGTCCTCAAAGAGCCAGTGTGGCTGCAGGTTTTCATTCCGACCAACCAGGAGCACACCAGACTCCACTCATTTCCTTGAGTGAGTTCAGTCTCCAACCTGGAGACCTGAGGGAATGGTGTGCTCCTGCTTGGTTGGAATGGTAGCCAAGCAGTTTGACCCCCCTGCCTCTAGAATTGTAGGCAAAATGAATGGTTTTTTTAGCCAATCTAAGGATTTTTAGTTTGTGGCTTTGCAATTTCTTTCATATTTGATGACTAATATGTTGCCAATCTCATATATCGATAATCCAAATGAATAGTATGAAATAAGATAGACAAGATAAGATAGGCCTTTATCTGTCCCACAGTGGACTATAGGAATGAGGCGCACACAGTACAAGATATATGAACAATAACGCTATACTAGATAAAATGAAATTAAAATCTCTAACTCTAGCATGAAGAAGAATCAAGTATAAAAGATTTTGCATAATGAGATAAAAAAAATAAATACCAAAAGAGCATTCAGATTGCACACATAAAACAGGATCTGGTATTTAAGATAATAGATAATGAAATTGAATAAAATACTAAAGAATTGGTTCAAGTATAGTACACTAATGTAGTATACCCTGTAGTCAGCAGGAGGTATTTACAGACATCCATATTGTACTTTAGCAGCAGGGAATACAACCAGAATAAATAATAGCTGCAGGTATAGTGACTAGTGAATTTTCAGAACAGAAATATCAGATATGTAATAATGTATAGTTGTGGTAATAGCAGCAGGTAAAGTGACTAAAGCGTATAACCAAGATCCTTTAGCCCCGGAGTTAACTTTCCCCCCATGTGCTGTAGGTGCGTAAGGAGCTGGCTGCAGTGCTGGTCTTTGAATCACACGCCAAAGCAGGAACAGTGCGTAAGTGCCTTTGACATTTGAGCGTGCGGACAGAGCACCACACAGGAGCTTTGTGTGGACCAATCAGAGCGTGGATCACAAATGCAGTACTCCAGTTATTGATCACAGCTCGCTTACATTTGGTAATGACTCTGCATTTCACTCAGACTTTCACTCATTTAGTTGTTTTCTTCTTGGACGTGTCTCGCTGTGATTGAAAGAATGATGTCAGAAAGAATCACTCTCACAGCTTGACCAAATGTTTTATTTTTCCTGTAGTGTGTTCTGGGAATTTGTTGTAAATATTGTGGCTTAATGTGTGTTTAATGGAAGTTTACAAGAGAAGACGAGAGGAGATTTGGCCGTCTCTTTATTCACAAACCTCCACAAAAAAAAGTAAATTCAACTAAAATCCTCACATAGATATGCTCAGCACTTAAGATTAGGGGTGGGAACCTCAAGGTACCTCACGATACGCGATACAAAGCTCACGATAGCGATTATATCACGATATGACGATTATCGATACTGTATATTGGTCAGAAATATACCTACGATTATTCATGGCATAAATAAAAGAAAAATGTGAAGTGAAAAAATACACTTAATTTCATGATAAATGGAATGGAGATGCAAAATGTAGCCATATATTAAGTATTGATACTAATTTTAAAAAAAAATCGATACTTGGCTAAGCATATCGATAATCGATCGCGTGAGAAAGTATCAAGATACATCACCTTATCGATATATCGTCACACTCCTACTTAAGATACATCCAGAGATCTCCTTCACAAGATAACATGTTTGTGATTCAATTAAAATCATTTTTGTATTGCTAAACATACCTAAATCACAACAGCAAATGTCTCGGAGGACTTTAAAAAGTTGTTGCTTCACCAACAACAGATCAGAGAATCAAACAGTCAAACAGTATGCAATAATAATAAACACATAGGATCCATTTGTCCATGTTAGTAAATGTCCCTTTAATGTCACAGGACTCGGGCTGTAAATTCCACTGGTATATTTTCTATGGAATGTTCAATTACATTTTTTAACTAAATATTTTATCTTTCAAATTGTAAAACATACTTGAAAACAAAACCCATGAACTACTTTGTAAATACTCTCCAACTATATTTCTATGCAGTTATTCAAGTTCCCATTTCTTTGCACGTCCATTGTCAACCTTGAGTGTTTGAAAAATTGTTGCCCCTTCAGAGGAATCATTTCTTTTTCGAGGTTCATTCAATCTGTTTGGTTTTTCAAATAACTACAAAACAAAAGTTACAAATGCACAAACAATGAATAGACAAGACCATATGCACATACACAAAAGAGACATAGACAAAAAACAAAGACATAATAGACTTAGGCTTAGACAGACTTTACTGATCCACAAGGGACATTGCATTGTCACAGTAGCTTGCATAGTATATCGCACTAAAAAAATAAAAATGAAAAGTAACGTTAAAGTAACAGTCTAAAAATTAGAATAATAATGAGATAATATTTGTGAGAATAGAATAATCTGGGTAGAAGTACTCAGTAATATACAAATCTGTGAATATTATAAAATAAGGAGAAAATAGGATAGTGCACATCTTTCCTGCACAATTGTTGGACGTAAAGAAAAATGAATGAATGCATTTGATTTACATGTTTGTGTGTGTGTCCAGTGTTCAGTCAGGGGGACAAGGGGACGTCCTGGTACATCATCTGGAAGGGATCGGTCAACGTCATCACACATGGAAAAGTAAGACAGCAGTTAGCATTGGAGCAGGATATGGATGCATTGTTAAGTGATGTAAAAGTCTGTTTGTTTGTGTGCGGACAGGGCGTGGTGACCAGCTTACACGAGGGAGAGGACTTCGGTCAGCTGGCCTTGTTAAACGACGCTCCTCGCGCTGCCACCATCATCCTCAGAGAAGACAACTGCCATTTCCTCCGGGTGGACAAACACGACTTCATCCGCATTCTCAAGGTGCACTTTGAAAAGCCCCAATGAAACACGTGTACAGTCTGTGAACTGGCTGATGTTACAGTAGACAGAAATATATGCATCTCTATATGGTGAGTTATAGCTTTACTGCTGGAAAACTGAATATTCAGGTCAAATATGTGTATACCATCCAATCCAATAATATATGTGACAATATAAAAGTAAGTTAGTTTTATCAAGTTTAAGACAGCTGTACTGTAGATGTTTCATTATCATCAGAACGTTGGTAACATAAAATTGGCCTCAAATAATTAGTTACTACAATCAAATGCATGTAAAGTCCATTGCTTAAAACGTTCTGTAAATTATCATAATAAGTATGAGTATTAGTATTATTTTTTTACTTTATGAAATGTGACCATGCCTGCATGTGAAAGCACAACCCAGTCAGATCTCAGGAGCTAAGCAGGGCAGGGCCTGGTTTCAGCTGTGATGGGAGGCCTCTGGACTGCTGCGGCTTTAAAGTGCCAAACCTTAGGCAAGACAAATGAAAAGGAAAAGAACCCAAAATGCAGAGCTGCAAAAATGATGGATTTAAAAGTAAAACAAAACCAAAATCCAGAGTAAACACAGAAAGTACCCAAACAAAGACTGACAAAGAGTTCAATCTGAAGAGACCAAAGACACAATTAATGCAATACAATTATTTATTTGTTTGGCGTATTGACCCCGGCAGTGACACTTGCAGCGATGAGATCGATTGCAGCTGAAGATGATCTTAGATCCCCCCGGGGTCAAACACTGGTGGTGGCTAGAATATGGTGTGAATGGGGCGTAGCCAGAGCGGGAGCCAGAGCGGGAGCCAGAGGAGGTGCTGGGGAGGTGGTGGGTGTTTAAGAGCCTCAGGAAGCGTTGCTTGTCAGGAAGTGGCAGCCTTTTAAACTGCCCGCTTTGCTGTGAGAGGGTTGGCAGGAGGCTGGCCGGGCTGTGTGATTGGCTGAGACTCAAGGCTTGCAGAGCTGTGTGCTTTGCGGGCTTGGAAAGGGGAATTTGCACTCGTTCTTTCAGTCTGAAGCTGCGCCGTTAGCTTCATAACTAAAACAGACGGAACAGGGAGTAAAGGAATACACATTTACAAAATACAGGAACAGGAAACATATCTAAACCATGATAGATACTTCAGCAACATTGACTAGTGTAGGTCTGGTGTTTGGACGTCTGTTTGGTGGAGGTCAGAGGGACTGATGGCACAGTACCCTGGCTTCCATCACTCTGCTCCAGGGCAGCTATGGCTTCAGTAGAAGTTCACCACCAACATGTGAATGAATGAATAATGAATGAATAAAACTATTTGAGTGTAGAGAAAAGCACTATATAACTCTGATACAGTATTTATTAATAGTAAAACACCTAATTTAATAGTATCATGGAGATAGGATTCAAGTTTAATTTTATGCTGTGGAACGTTTTGAGGATACGAGTTCCATCTTCATGTGGACGTGCAGGAGTCCGACCTTCTAACAGCAGAAAACGGACATCTTGCATAATGGATGAAAATAAACAAAGACATGTTTGTTATACAGATTACTTGTTCTGTTTATGAGTACATCAGATATATTTAGTTCATCATGAGACGTGTTTGTGCGTGTGAAACATGGTGTGTATTATTGTATGTGAAGGACGTGGAGGCGAACACAGTGCGACTGGAGGAACACGGAAAAACTGTGCTGGTGCTGGAGAAAAGTGCCGAGTCCACGGAGCCTGGAGCTGCCACTAACAGCAAGTAAGAAACTGGGAGCGTTTCCATGGAGATTCACATTTTCAAAAACAGATTGGTAGCTATGTGTTGGACGTGTATCTAAATAATGTCATTGTAAGTTGGAGTGCCTTTACCATTCGTCTCCTATTCTACAATTATTATAACTTTTATTATTATGGGAGAAACTTATAAAGTGTTGTATACATGCACCGTGAATTAAAAGCAAAAAATGGTTTGGAGATATCTGTTTGTTGAGAAGAGGGAGGTGTGAAGTGCTCTGAAATATGATGTAAAACTATTGTTACACATATTTCATAAAATACTAAAGTTGAAGTTACTGGGAAACTCAATTAGAAGTGGGATGTACTGTAGCAAAATAATATCACAAAAAAAACTATTGTTACACGTATTTCATAAAATACTAAAGTTGTAGTCACTGGGAAACTCAATTGATGTGTGTCAATGCTGAGGGGAGTATATTTTTAGACCACTCTAGTTTAGCCGCTGTGGACTTTAGGAGCCACTCTTTAATGGGGCTGATGCCAGATGACGCATGCGCAAATGGGTTTATTCACATTTTCCTGCGGGAGGTGCTGCCCCATACAATATACAATACAATACAATACAATTCAATTACCAAATTTACAATACAAACCATTTGCACAATTTATTCTTGTATAGCCCTAGGTCACAACAGAAGTCATCTCAGAGGACTTAACAAAACCATTGAAATCACCAACACAGGTCAGAGAATCAACAGTTAAAACACATGAAGAATACAGTATAAAGCACACACAGAAGAAAATGTCCATACATGTTGTAGAATGCTAAAGTGTCCTGATCATCACCAATCCTTTCTGTTGGACACTAACTGTCCAACAAGACCCTCCTGCATCGACAAGGAAAAACTCTTAAAAAACCCAGTGGGAAAAAGTGAGAAACCTTGGAGGAGAACTAGGGAAACCCACAGGGAGGGAGACCCATATGAGAAAGGGATCCGCTCCTCCGGACGGACAGACTAATGATCCAGGACCTAAGCTAGCTACAGAACGTGGACCAGTGGACGCTGAACGTGGACAGGTCCGGTGCAGGACCGAAGCACTCCCAGGCGGGTCGGGCGGGGCAGTCCGCAGGTGTAGATGGAAGAGGCCAGGCTCAGAGATCCCGTCATCGTACCATGAAACAGACAATGGGACAACGGGTGAATAGCAATGAACAAACTACAGTCAGAATCCTAAAAATGCTAAACAGATAAAGTAGGAAGGAGGAGAGGATAGTGCTCAAGTTACCATACTTCTCCCAGCAAACTGACTCCCTATGCAGCTTGACTAACACTCTGAGGAGTTTAACCTTCTCCGAGTCTTACCTTCCTAGCCATATGCTAAACTAAAGAGGACTGTTTTAAACCTAGCCTTGAATAAAGAATAACATACAGCATAATATATAACATAATATACAACATAACACAATACATTATTGAATAATATATAACATAATATATAACATAATACAGCATATATATATAATATATACACTACATATTATATATTACCTAATTATATGCTAAATTAAAGTAAAGTGCTTTAAGCCTGGCCTTGAATGTGGAGACCGTATCTGCTTCCTTAACATAAATGGGAAGCTGATTCCACAGTAAAGGAGCTTGGTAGCTAAATGCTCTGCCACCAACAGTGACCTTTGAGACCTTAGGGACCACCAGACGTCTGGCGTTTTGTGAGCGCAACGCTCGACCTGGTTGATACGACACTAACGTGTCTTGGAGATAAGAGGGAGCCAAGCCATTTATGGCTTTATATGTTAAGAGTAGGATTTTAAACTTTATTCTGTACTCCACAGGGAGCCAGTGGAGTGATTTTAACACCGGAGTTATGTGCTCCCTCCTTTTGGTACCTGTTAAGATCCTAGCTGCTGTATTCTGAACGAGCTGGAAGCTCTTCAAAGAGGCTTTAGGGCACGCTGCCAGTAAAGCGTTACAGTAGTCGAGCCTTGAGGTGACAAACGCGTGAATGAGTTTTTCCGCGTCACTTTTAGGAAGGAAATTCCTAATTTTAGCGATGTTCCGTAAGTGGAAGTACGCCGTTTTAGTTGCTTGGCTTATATAAGCCTTGAAGGAGAGTTCTTGGTCAAAAATGACTCCAAGATTCCTCACAGTGTTACTGGGTATTATACTGACATTATCGAGAGTAACCATCTGGTTAGTGAGGGAGTCACGCAGGCGCTTCGGACCGAGTAGGATCACTTCTGTCTTCTCCGGGTTGAGAAGTAGGAAGTTAAGAGTCATCCACATTTTAAGGTCCTTTATGCAGGCACTGAGCTTTTCTAGCTGATCTGTCTGATTAGGCTTCATCGACAGATAAAGCTGTGTGTCATCTGCATAGCAGTGGAAATTAATTCCATGCTTTTTAATAATGTTTCCCAGTGGCAGCATGTAGAGAGTAAAAAGAATCGGTCCGAGTACCGAACCCTGCGGCACACCGAATTCCACTCCAGAATAAGGCGACGAGTCCTGATTCACATTGACGAAGTGATATCGATCTGATAAATAGGATTTAAACCAGCCAAGGGCTGTTCCTCTAAGACCTATATCACATTCTAGCCTCTGCAGTAGAATGCTGTGGTCTATTGTGTCAAATGCAGCACTAAGGTCCAGTAGGACCAGCACTGACACTTGTCCATTATCGGCAGCTAGTAGTAAGTCATTTGTGACTTTGACTAGTGCCGTTTCAGTGCTATGATGAGCTCTGAATCCTGATTGAAAGACTTCAAACATATCATTTTCCTGCAGGTGGCAGCGGAGCTGCTCAGCTATAAGTTTTTCCAGGATTTTAGATATAAAAGTGAGGTTTGAGATCGGTCTGTAGTTTGTAAGTATTTCTGGGTCCAGGTTTGTTTTCTTCAGAAGGGGTTTGATTACCGCGGTTTTAAAAGCTTGTGGGACATAGCCACATTGTATGGATGCGTTTATTATATTTACGATAGGCTCAATTATCAAAGGAAGTATGTCTTTGAAGAGCCATGTCGGGACTGCGTCTAACATGCAAGTTGAGGCTTTTGAGGATGTGACCACAGAGATCACCTCTGCTTGGCTCACAGCCATGAATTTATTAAGGCCCACTGAAGAGTCTAAGTGGGAAGTCACGTATGCCGCTTCAACCTGTCCACCACTAACAGCAGGAGCAACCTCCTCCAGCTTGTCACGGATGGATGTAATTTTATTATTAAAGAAGTGGAGAAAGTCGACACTGCTCAGTGAGCTTGGAATTTTAGGCTCGATTGCGCTATGGCAGTTTGTGAGTTTAGCGACGGTACCAAACAAAAATCTACTGTTGTTTTTATTCGCTTCTATTAAAGTTGAATAGTATTGAGTTCGAGCCCCGCGAAGGGCCTTCTTGTAGTTTCGGAGACCTGCTTTCCACTCCCTGTGGACAGGCTCCGAGTGGGAGTGGCGATATAGCCTCTCCAATTTTCTGACGTCCTGTTTTAAAGTGTGGAGTTGAACACTGTACCAGGGCGACGATGATCTAATCCTAATGGTTTTCTGTTTTAAAGGAGCTGCTGCATTTAATGCAGATTTTAAAGACTCCATAGTGTTGCCCACCGTTTGGTCAATGACTGAGGGACTGCAGCTGCTGTGAACAGGTTCACCTGCAGCAGTATTCAACATAGGCTGTATTAGTTCTTTGAACCTTGTGATAGATTTATCATTTAAGGTTCTTTTCATTATGGTTTTATCTTGCGGGACAGGAAAGTCCTCCAAAGCGAGATCAAACGTGATCAAGAAATGGTCAGACAGCAACGAGCTTTGACGCTGGATGTCAACATTGGAGACATCACAGCCGTAGGTCAGGACAAGGTCCAAGGTGTGGTTATGAATGTGAGTAGGTCCCTCGACATTCTGAGTAAAACCAACACCATCTAGTACGGCGCTGAAAGCTTTGTTTAAGCTGTCAGTGCTGTCGTCCACATGTATATTGAAGTCTCCAGCTATAACTATGTTTTCCCATTCCAAAACTAGGTTTGAAATGAAGTCAGAGAATTCTGTTAGGAACTCGCTGTAAGGACCAGGAGGTCGGTATAAAACTATAAATAGTACTGCTTTTTGTTTTCTCCACCCAGGACAGGTGATTGAAAGTGTTAAGTTTTCAAACGAGTGAAAAGCGTTGTTGGTTTTGGGACTAAGAACCAAGTTGGTGTGTGATATAATCGCAACACCACCGCCGCGACCTGTAGCTCTGGCTTTCTGGTAGTTAACATGCGTCGGAGGAGTGCACTCATTCAATCTAACGTACTCGTCCTGTTGGAGCCAAGTCTCCGAGAGCGCTAACAGATCCAAGCCCTTGTCTATAATAAGTTCGTTTATGAGAAGCGATTTAGACGAGATTGATCTGACGTTCATTAAACCACATTTAACAACCCTACCGCTAGAACTATTTCTGTCTGTCTGAACTTTTATTAAGTTACTGTGTCTGACACCTAGGTCAGATTTCCTCGCATATAGTGCTTTAGACTTCAAGCGGGGAACACACACAGTTTCAATCTGACTAGGTTCTGAGGCTAGTAACTGAGCACACACAGGCACACACACACATGCACACACAGTTTCAATCTGACTAGGTTCTGAGGCTAGTAACTGAGCACACACAGGCACACACACACATGCACACACAGTTTCAATCTGACTAGCCTCTGAGGCTAGTAACTGAACAGATGGGGGCTCAGAGGTTGTGGCAGAGCAGCTCTGCACCCGGGCCTCAGTTCTGCATCGTCATTTGAGCCGGGCAGAACAGTTTAGAGCCAGGGCCAAATTCTTAGCCAAAAGGGATGTACCCGCCAACGTTGGGTGGATATCATCCGAGCGGATGAGACCGGGCTTTCCCCAAAAGGCACTCCAATTGTCAACATGAACAACACCACTTCGAGGGCACCAGCCAGACAGCCAGCGGTTGAAAGCCGAGTGTCTGCTGAATGCTTCTGCACTGCTAGTGCTAGGTAGGGGCCCAGAGAAGATGACAGTGTCGGCCATTGTGCTAGCCAGCTTGCACACGGCGGCGACTTGCAGCTTCAACACCTCGGACTGTTTCCGCCGAACGTCATTACCACCCGCGTGAATAACAATTCGACGGAAACGCTGCTTGTGGCCAAAATGGCCATGGGGCTTGTGGCCCCATGGCCATTTTGAAAAAGCCCCATAGAAGCCAAAAGTGATGGCACATTAGTTTCAACGGCGGAGATCGGCGTGACTCCAATATGGCGTCATATTGGAGTTTTTTGTTCAGGCTGTTTTTATTTCCTTATTCCCCCCCATAGTCATAGGTTTTAATTAGCCCGATAATGTAAGCATTAACTTGTGTCAACACGATATGTCCATACAGTAATTAGACTGCCTTTTTACTCAAACATTATTATTGTTTTTTTAATTATCTTCAGCAGTCACACCGTGTAAACATGGACTTTGACTCTGACCCATGACTCTCTGTGCTGAAGGGTTTCCACACAAACACCAACGTTGATTGTTATATTGTGCTTTATCAGTTCCTCTGTCCCTGCCGTCAGGAGAATACAGATGCTGTGTTTATCCGTTCATTCTTTATGATGTAATGTCTATGAAACAAACTCACAAATTGTTGAAATATACAGAAACTATGGCAAAATTAATGTATGTTTTTTTTATGATCCCAAAATCATGTCCGTACTCGTTTGTTGATTCACTAAACTGTATTTTTAATGTGATTGTTTTTTATGGCTCTGGAAATAGCTAGCATCGCCATCCTCTGTTTGTTTCCATGGTAATGTTGTCCCTTTTGTATGAAAACATAAGTGTTGTTCAATCTTTCTATTGCTATTCTGCTATCCAGAAAATTAATATGTTGTCTAACCCTTAACCTTAGACTTATTATAACTTTATGTATGTGTATTTTTGTTACCAACTTTGTAATACTTGACAATCAACAAAAAAACATACACACATCAGGTCCAGGGCAGCAAAAAAAAAAAAAATCAATCAATTATATTTTTAGAGCCCTTTACAACACTCACGGCGACCAAAGTGCTTCACAATAAAATTACATAAAATCCATTAAAACTTTTGACCAAGATGACCCAATGACAGTGAATGAGGAGTTTCCAGTCTTCCAGAACCCCCTCCAGTGCCTTGCGGAGGGTCTCTGGACTTGTTTAACTAAAATGCACATCTAAGCAGAACTGTGGGTTTGACATTGTCAGAGTAAAAGCCTGTCTCACATTTTCTGTTTGAGGTTTTACCTGCATAAATCTGAAATTCTGCCTCGTCATGTTTAGTCCTGACTGTATTGGAACCAACAGGAGAATATCTTTTGTGTCATGTAGATACACAGTGATGTCTGGTACTCCGGAGAAAATCCTGGAGCAGCTTTTGGAGACTTTAAAGTTGGACTGTGCACAGGATGCCATAGGTGGGATATTTTTTGTTTGTTTATATTATTTATTTACACACAATTAAATGCAGTGAATGACAGTTATTGACAACAAGTACAATCTGTGTGTTTATTTTTTATTTTTCTGACCGTAATGCTCCCTTCCCATACCACCCACCTTCCCCAATTTGTCTCCAGATTGACAGTGTGTTTTTTAGAGTTATGTTCAGCTGAGGGTAAATAATAAAATCAATCCATAAATAAGTAAAAGAAAAGAAAAAACAGAATAAAATAAAAAGAAATCCACAAAAAAACAGATAAAAAGGAGATGAATACAGGTATAATAATGACACACACACACACTATACTTATGTACTGTAGTATGCATGCACATATACACACATACACACACATCACATGCACACACATGTTTTGTTATTGTCAAAGTTGAATCTGCACTATGATCCCATGCTCCTGTTTGCCCTCAGATCCGTGTGTGAGTGACTTTCTGCTCACTCATAAAGTCTTCATGGCCTCCAGTCTGCTGTGTCCTGCTCTACAGCTGCAATATCCTTAAAGGCCTGATAAGACAGGACTGATAACAAGCCGCTACTGCTGCCACCACCACACCCTTTAGGATTTATGCAACAGGTGCTGCCATAAAACAATGGATACATGATGGTTGTATGATCCATGATGGTGGTGGCATTTAGGATTGAGGACTTATCTTCAGTCTGAGATGGAATGAGGAAGTGCTGGGCCTATATAATAGTTATTCATTATCGGTCACGGGAGGCTTCCAGATGATGTCATTGACTTTTTTATTATTTGCTTTGAGGACACTTCAGGTGGGAAACATGTTTGATTTACAGTAGATTACGAACATAATAAAAGAGATGAAAGATTAGATTAGACAAAAACTTTCCTGTGTTTTTCTCAGGTGATTGTGGTAAAAATTTGTTAAAACACTGCATGTTTTTTTCCAGGAAATAAAGTTATGGGTGCCTAGTTTTTAAACCACGAAAACTGCATAATCTAATACAAACCATGAAATATACTTTCTTACTCTCAAAACAGTTTGCTTTTATCTCTAGGTCCACCTTTACTCTGCCAATCTGCTCTCAGCCCAAAGTAGAATTGCAAATATGAAAATGCGATGTTTTCTAACAAGATGAATAAATTATGTTGTGGTCTGATGTGTTCACAATATTTTACTTACAGTAGAAGCTTTATGTTGTAACAAATAAAAGGCATTATTTATCATACAAAAGTTACGTATCCCAACTTTAGTCAAACATGCACTTCAAGGACATAACTTTTTTTTATTTTGTTGACATATTAGATGCAAAAACAACTTATTTTCTAATACGTTGTGCTTCTCACATACCAAGACCTCAGTCATGTTTTAGTCCTTAACAGTAGATTGCACTTTCCAAGCGGAGCTCTCTGAAGGCTCAGAGCAGGAGAAGGCTGCGTTTATCCTCCAAAACAAGCAGAAGGTAGTGAAGCTGGTCGGCCTGTGGGTGGCGCTGTACGGCCAGGTGCTTAAGGAGGACCCTGTTGCTGTGGACTTTTTAGAGGTAATAAGGCCTGATATATATGGCAGGATAACACACTGAATAGCTAAATGAATCCTTGCTTGTGGCCAAGGTTGAGTAGAATGCTTTGAAAATGTATTCAGTTCTGGAATACTGAAAACATGACCTAAAATGTATTTTACTGTTACTAAAAACAGTGACTAAAATTGTCTGTTATTTGAAAAGGGTCTGAGGAAGGAGGTGGCTGGGGACTATCGCCTCTGCAGCGTGCTGAAGGAGTTCAGAGAGAGGCGAAGAACCAAAATGTAAATTGTATATATTTTTCAACACCTTTCAGACTGAAACGTTACAGTCTTAACACTTTTCCTTTTACTGTTCCATGTGTTGCACCTGCACAGAATGGAGAATGGATACCAGTCCCTCAACAGGGTGAGGCCACTCTCCTCCTAGTTGTGCATATGCTGTACTCTATGTTGTTGTTTTGATAGTGATTTGGTTTTATCCTTGTGCCCACAATAGAACCACCATTTTGACTGGTTTTCAAACGGTGAAGATCCCAATGGAAGGCTCCAACCAATCAGAGCTCATGATAAAGGTATGATTGAATATCTTTCCAAACCTTGTTTATTGACTGTGTTATTCTGTTGTCAAATTATGTTAATGATGGTTTTTTGAATAAACAGACAACTAACTAACTAATATTATAGCTAATTAAAGATGTCATATTTATCATTATTTTAGGCCATACAAATTGATAATTAGATTTTGAATTTGCCATTTCAGGTAAATATGGATAAAAATGTATCAAGGATAAAAATGTAACAAGGATAAAAATGCTACCCACATGTAACTCCTTAAGCCACCACCAGAGGGAGGAGTTGATTTTTAAATTCTAAAAACACAGCTATGAGCTCAACATATTTATAATAGATTCCCTTTAACTTCCAATGTAATAGTTTGCAAATTTTTGATATGCAATTTGTCACAATAATTATTTATCAGGGATTGAATAATATCTTTCGGTCCACAATTTTCACCACAGTTTCAAAGACTGACGCTATATAGGATTTATTTGATGACTTATGACCAATACTAACTTACAGAGATGTGATGTTCCCTCCAGTGTTGTATGAGATCTACCAGCCGGACCACAAAGCTCTGACCGTCATGCTGCCAGTGAACAAGAGCGTGCAGGACGTGATGTCGGCCATGTTAAAGACCAACTCGGATCACGTCCTGGTCAAAATGAACTCTGCGGAAGGTGAGCCACTCTGCTACTGATACATGCTCTGTGTATTAGAATCCACATCCCTTCTGGCCAGTTTAGATTTGTTTGTGTGTTCATTAATCCGCTGTATTGGAGGTGTGAGGGTGTGTGTTTAGATTAGTGTGACTGTAGCTGCTTCACACAAAGACTCCACGGACTAATTGGGCGGCACGGTGACTGAGTGGATAACACTCTCGCCTCTCAGCAAGATGGTCCTGGGTTTGAATCCCGGTCGGAACAGGGCCTTTCTGAGTGGAGTTTGCATGTTCTCCCCATGTCTGCGTAGGTTGTCTCCGGGTACTCCGGTTTCCCCTACCACTAAAAACATGTACAATAGGCCTGGCATGCGCCTCCTGTACTGGCGACCCTACTCCCATCTCTGTGTGGAGTGAGAGACGAATGTCCACAATTGTAAACTGCTTTGTGACTCTGGTCTGTGAAAGGCGGTATATAAATAAACATTACTTACTTAGTAATTATTAGTAAGTAATCTGTATTTATATACCGCCTTTCACAGACCAGAGTCACAAAGCGGTTTACAATTGTTATTTTTTTGGGCATTTGTCCTCTCACTCCACACAGAGATGGGAGTGGGGGCGCCATTGCAGGAGGCGCATGCCAGTCCTATGTTTTTACTTACTTACTTAAGTAAACTATAGTTGTATGTATCTGTACATGTTAGCATATGAGGATATGGGACAAAGTGACTTAAGTAGAGCAAGAGTAGACACATGAGGTTCTACAGTATATTGCACATTTTGACATTATTAAAGATATAATTGCATATTATTGATGAGTAAGTAAAGTAAAGTGACAGTGACACACCTGGTTCAATATTGCATCTTCTGACATTAGTTCAAGGACACGATTTCAGGTTAACAGTGAATTATAGCAGAGACTGTAAAAAGTGTGACAGATGAAGTATTTATGTGTATTTTTTGTTTTAAATGTCCATCAGAGAGAGCCCAGCTGAAGCTCGATGCCACGGCGGTGTACACGGCCCTGGGACTGAACGAGAGGCTGTTTGTGTGTGCGAGCAGCCAGGTGGAGCAGCTGGTAAGGACATTTCTCTGGACTTCAGTGTGGGTAATGAAGCAGAAACATTCGACTGAAGCACTCTTGTTTTGTGCCACAGCGCCCCCTGAAGGAGCAGCTGGGGCCAGAGCAGGGCACTGCGGACGTCCTGGAACAGATGAGCTCCAAAGACATCGCCATCGAGCTCACCAGCTACGACTGGGAGCTGTTCACTGCCATGCACGAGGTAAAAGAGGGTTATTGCTGACATTAGAACCAGCGCATGTGAGGCTGTGGTGTCATTGTACTAACGCAATACTACTACTAGTTGTATTACACAGAACTATCCCCCTCGAAAAACAGATGTTCCTTCTCAAGGTGCAATCCACATAATAATCCAAACAATAATCAGACATTTTAAAAAGTCTCTATTTTGTTCTAGTTCTTTGAATCCCGTGGCTTAAATAGCGGTGCAGGTTTTATCATTGCATTTCTTGTGTTTGAACGGTTGGTTTCTCTGATCTGTGTTGGAGAATTTGATTGTTGTGTGAGATACATACTGCTGTGATTTATGGCTGTACAAGAATACATTGAATTGAATTGTGCTTTCCCCACTTCCATAAAGAGCGTCTTCTTTCTGCAGGTGGAGCTGGTTTACTACGTGTTCGGTCGCCATAAGTTCCCCGGCTCCATCACGGCCAACCTGGAGCGGTGCGTGCGGCGGTTCAACGAGGTGCAGTACTGGGTCGTGACGGAGCTGTGTCTGTGCGAGGACCTGGTCAAACGGGCCGTTGTACTCAAGAAGTTCATCAAGATCGCCGCAGTGTAAGAAACATGTGACTCTACAGACAGTAATCCCACACAATCATGACACACTTCCCAGTAACAATAAAACACAGCAAAAAGGGGGTAAAAAGCAGGGCTGAAGTCTTTTTTGCATCTTTAATCTGCACTAATTGGGAACTAAACCATATACAGTGACTTCAGACCATTTGATGTATATACTACAGTAAAGCCCTGTCTCCACCAGCCCTACTTCAGATTCAGATTCATTTATTTGCCATTTGCAACCAGACGACACACACCAGAGCTCTTGCCACGGCGCCATCTTTACGTCGAGTAGAGCTGAGTGGAGAAAGGCCATGTAGGGCTGGTGGAAACGAGGCTTAAGATCTATTTGAAACTTGTATCAATTTGTGTTTTTTATTCACACATATTTAAGGAACTGTTTATATTTTCATGATTTTTTGTCATCTTGTTGATAAATACCACCTTTACACAATGAACAGAAGGTTTCCAATGTAACGCTATATTTCTATCTTTGTAGATTAAAAGAGCAGCGGAATCTGAACTCCTTCTTTGCTGTTATGTTTGGTTTGAACAACAGCGCGGTGCAAAGGCTTCACAAAACCTGGGAGGTAAGAGCCACTGCAAATGTGTCGTTTAACATTATTTACTCATAACTCAATGAATACTGACACATCTATGTTACTCTGTTTATAGCGAATACCAAACAAGATCAAAAGAGTTTACTGCCAGTATGAAAGACTATTGGTGAGTTGTGCTTATTGTTAGGTCCAATATTATTTACACATGTGACCTGATATCTAGTGGCACATAAAACAGACATAACTGTAATTTAAAAGGAAAGTAGTACAGACTGTCGCTTTAACACTATGTACACTTATTAAAGTAATATTATAAATATGCAACACACTGAGTCCTTTTAATTGTGTGTTTCAGAACCCTTCTCGTAACCACAGAGCATACAGATTGGCTGTGGCTAAACTCAGTCCTCCCTACATCCCGTTTATGCCGCTGCTTCTCAAAGGTTCGTCTGCTGGGAATAAATGAATAGCTTTCCTCTTTTACCTTTAAAAATTAATATTACATTTGTTTGTTTTTACCATGTCATCTTCAATCCAGATATGACTTTCATCCATGAAGGAAATCCAAACTACATCGACAAACTGGTGAACTTTGAGAAAATGGTATGTTGTTTAGTTCTTCTAAAATGTACAGAAATAGTGTCTGTATCACTTGGTATGTTTTTATTATTTAGCGCATGATTGCCAAAACCATGAAGATAGTGAGAGGATGCCGAAGCCAGCCTTATGGTAAGTTACTCCACTCAAGTCCGGCTGCAGTCAGTAAAGAGTGACGTGTGATTGTCTTTGCAGTGCCTTCGTCTCCACAGAGAGGTTTAGCAGATCGGATGTTTCTGGATGGACCGGCCATTCGATTATCTACATGTATGTATTTGATATATTATCTATTTGTTGTTATGTTTGATGCAAATAAGATGAAATGGTGTTGAACTTTCCAGACTCTGAACATGCTCATCCTCTGAGGACGCCCAGTAACATCCGACACTACATCCTGAACCTGAGAGTCATCGACAGCCAGCGCAGACTCACACAGCTGTCCAGAACCATGGAGAGCTGAGGTCGCTCCAGGACCGCCACTGAAGGACTAGAACCAGAACCATGGAGAGCTGAGGTCGCTCCAGGACCAACACTGAAGGACTAGAACCAGAACCATGGAGAGCTGAGGTCGCTCCAGGACCGCCACTGAAGGACTAGAACCAGAACCATGGAGAGCTGAGGTCGCTCCAGGACCAACACTGAAGGACTAGAACCAGAACCATGGAGAGCTGAGGTCGCTCCAGGACCGACACTGAAGGACTAGAACCAGAACCATGGAGAGCTGAGGTCGCTCCAGGACCGACACTGAAGGACTAGAACCAGAACCATGGAGAGCTGAGGTCGCTCCAGGACCGCCACTGAAGGACTAGAACCAGAACCATGGAGAGCTGAGGTCACATTACTCTAGGACTTTCAATATGGATGTATTCACTGAGACTGAAGCAGACAATCAGGACCTGGAACAGTCTGTGGAGTTCTGTGGCACACCTCCACCTGAGACCTTTTAATCTCCTGTTGTTATCACTATATTATAGTATATTGTAGTAAATTATAATATTTTATAGTATATTAGAACCACACATGGGACAGCCAGTGGGCTCGTCTGTACAATGCAAATGGTACCCTTGTTATGACTCTCAAGTGCATTTTTCCTGCAATTTTGAGTCAAAAATTTGAAAAGAGGATATCTTTTGTTTCTGATGAAAATCCCTTTTGTAAGTATGTACATAATGTATATAGCAGTATTATATCAGCACTTTTACTAAACTACCACTAAGTGGCATGTTATTTGAGATGAATTTCCTAAATAAATTATTTTCACCAACTGATAAGAAGTTAAGACAAATGTTACAAATGGAAATACTTTATTTAACAAACTGGTAACAACTGATTTCCAAGGAACCCATTTGATCCCACCCAACAAACATTATGTCCCCAATATGGGGTGAGAAATTCACAACAAATTAGTTACCATTCAATTCCAAATACTCTCCTTGTCATAAATATGTACACGAGATCAAAGTCAGAGAGCTCATTACATGGGCCACAACATGAAAAAGATAAGCCAGTGCTTTCTTCAGAAGTAACCGTGGTGATTCCCGAAAAACAAAAACCTGATGATAGGTTTCTGATCCAAAAGGTTTTTTGACGTCTTCTTTTGTCAGATGAAGAAGATGATAAAGATCATACATTTCTCTGATAACTGTAGACATAACCAAGGTAAACCTTTACCAAACTATTGTGTCAACAAGCTCATGTGATAGAACTTGAATTACCCTCTGTCTCTGCATAAATGATGAGTGTGAGTCAGATTTGGGAATTGGAGGAAAGTGGACCAGAAATGTGCTCAAATGTGTGAAATCTTAGTAGTAACAATGGCACTCCTGCTGTTGCTTGGTGAGAGTACAGTAAGTGAAAGCACAAACCCACACACTGCTCCCTCAGAAAGCAGTCACGAAACAAAACTCAACGCACTGTGATCAAAACTAAGGTGAATATAAATATTGCACTTACAAACATCCTCTGTTCCCAGTGCTGGCAGTCGACCCCCTTTAACCGAGGCGCAAAGTCACTCTCGGGACACGTTAACGACAGAAGTGGTTGCACGTGTTCAGAAATCTAATTGTTGTAACGTGTTGGAAGGAAGAAGGCGGCACTGGGAAGTCTCACACATTCATAAATACACCACTCACACCACACATCCCAACACAACTTCTCCTTATACTCACACACACAACTCACTGACAATATATTTACAATAAGGCACGCAATCAACAATTCTGTCGTGAAATGACTTGAACGTCCCTGGAGCCATTTGGTGACTATGGATTATGTCGCTCGTTTGTCTCATGGAGATGCGGCCATTTTGTCTCCCACACCCCGAGTATATTCATCAGCTTATCATTAATTATGAGTAAGATACACACAGATACATTTGTCCTCTGTATTTGTCTCATCCTGCAATGTCACCATGGCGACCTGTCAGGACGGTAATGATATGGTAATAACATCGCTATCTTACTGTTCTGTTCGGACATTTATTTGTAGGATTATTTCTTTATAGGTTACATTTTTGGTAATGTCTTTGACCATTTTTGCTGACCTGTATTTTCTATTTTGCTTCGAACAGGAGTATGGGTAGCTCAGTCCTGGTGTACTCCCACATTTGTCTGGTATAGCAGAACTAAAAAACTTGACCTGTTAGGACCAACGGTCACAACAGTTATGACCTAAATAAATCTCCATTGAGACAAGCGAGAGAGTGGCAGACCTAGATCTAAAAAAAGTCACTTCCTGAAAATAAACATGTTTTTATTTCATTTGATGAGGACTCTGGTTATTAAAACACTCTTGATCAAAAGTAAAAGCCAGGTTAGAATTTTAAACTGCTTATACACTGTTAAAAATGTTCCTTGTAGAGTTTCATAGATAGTATGATAGAAACTGACATTGAATCCCAGATTTTGCTTTTTAAGTCTGTGATCCTCAGCGTGTGATCAGATAATGGGCAGCCTAATGTCAATTCACTCCAATTTCATCGCTTTGCATTTTGAAAACTAGACTTGGAACCTTTTTAAGATCAAACAGAGCAAATATTTCTTTTCCCCCCGGCCTTAAACCTTTGATCAGGAGTGTGTCTCAATGCTACAGCGCTGCTCCTGATTGTCATGTCTTTGGTTCAATGTTGTGGTTTGGCTAAAAACCTCCTATGGGCCACTCCAGACATTCAATTATGTAAAAACAAATGTTCTTATAACACACGCAAACATGTCATATCTGGTTAAAAAATAACTTGAATTCAGGTTGTAATTATTACTTAATGTGATCTAGAATATTTTGGATAAGAGACCATTTGAACTCGTTGCTTGATTATATATAATTTAATGAAAACAAAATCTTACCACATCGGCAAAAGATTGTTGCTTAAAATAAAACATAATGCATTTTTAGAATTTTTTTTCAAATTAGTGAAAGGGTCTCGCTCCATCAAGTAAATTCAACTTGTCAAAAAAAACTACTAAAATCCTGAATGCAAGTCACTTTAAATATTCTACTCTTTTTAGTGATGTTGCTTTTAGGGCATTTAAACCAGAAGTCAAAACTGCTCCCACTTTACTTCAAGACTCGTATGAGGTTCAGGCGCGGTCAGTGTTGCTTCCAGTCTTTTTCCCAGTCGTTACTGTAGCAACAGCCACTGCACATATACAGGATTTGTCCAGAGCCCCAAAGGAAGTATCGGATCCAACATCAGTAGATTTCCTTTTGGGGTCCCATCGCTGTCCACAACCAACCTGAGGCGATTTTCTCTGCCCTGCACATGGTTCTGAATCCTGAATTTAAAATCATGTCATCGTGAAAACACAGCTCTAGATTACAGCGCAGTCGTCTCACATATGTCCATAGCTCTCCTGACCGTGGACACAGCAGTTTTAGCACCGAGGGCAGTGACGGACGGTTGTAAAAGAAAGTCCCCAACGTCGCAGGTATCCACGCAGTTTGTAACACTGATAAAAATAAAATATAAAATGTCCCAATGCTAATAAAAACATAAATAACATGGAAAAAAAAACATTCATTTGGCTTGGAGATCTTTGGATTGTTGTTTAGTGCAGCACAATGGAGTTCCAGTGGTCTCTTCTATCTTTCTCTCAATGCATTTCTTCATTGCAATCATAAGGCCAGGTATTGTGGTTTTCTTTTTGTTTCTTCTATACAGACTTTTTCAAGCTTCTGAAGTGGCCGGTGGTTTGAGTTGTGCTTTTTCCATCGCGGTGCCGTACGGAACCGATCGTTTGAAGAAACCCAACTGCGAGATCAGACAAGGACACATGAGTTATTAGGGTGAAATGAGTGATAATGATTTGTGTGTTGTGTTAGGGCAGCGCTGACCTTGTAGAGAATGTATATGAGCAGAGCCAGCAGAAGTAGTCCAACTAAAACTGCCAGAATGATGATCCAAAGAGGAACGGAGTTTTCAATATCAGGCTTGTTCCACACCACCGGAGTCACCACCTGCAGGAACGGCAGAAGGACGCGTGTTAATATATTACGTGTCTATGTATCAGTGTTTCTCAACGTGGGGGGGCTGGACCCTCAGGAAGGCCCGCTGAAGCTGGGGAGGCGATCAGTAAATCAAGCAAAATTGGGTTTTTTTAGTCACTGCTTGTTTTTTTTCTAAGTTGCGTCTACAAATATATTTTCCATATGTCTGTATTTCCATTATACTTGTATAAGCTATATACTCATACTTACTTCTTATATGCTAGAGTCTGAGATTTTATACTTATTTCTTGCTTCATCATGCTAAAGCTAGAGATTTTATACTAGCTTCTTTATTATGCTAAAGTTAAAGTTTTTATCTTATTTTATGTTATTTTACAACAGAGTTATCGTTCATTTATCTTGTGCTGTGTGCTACTCATTCCACCTGTTCTGTAATTTGTGATGCAACACTGACATTTCTCCACTGTGGGACGAATAAAGAACTCTGTCATCTGTATGAATTTAATTCCCATAATGTTCAATAACAGAACTAACTAAGATATACTGTGCATAGGTAGAAAAGCATTAACATATTCAAATTCATTTTCTGAAAAAAAATAAAGAATCAGGTTACTTACATTTACCGCTATGAGACAAATGGTTATATTTGACATGTGTTGTAAATTAGTGTGTTATTTAAAGTCCACCATTTTCATAGGAGATCACGATAATGCAAAACAAAAACTGACTAAAATAATTAATTAATAGATGTTTTTAGTGAACCTTCTCAGCAAAAAGGCAATAAATATCCGACCATGTGATTCCGACCTGACTGTGAACAATAAAACAAACAAAAACAAGTACCTTTTTGTGTCCACTGGGAGCATGTTTGGGCAGAATGGCGTAGGGCATCTTCTCCACACTGTAGCGTGCCAGACACTCCAGCACATACTGCTTATACGCCCTCTGAAATATGGACAAAAACGCATTTAAAATGGCTGCAGTGCTCATGGGGACACGCTAGGGGGCGACAGACACACACACAAACTCATGTCTCCTCTCTCAGTCCAGATTCCAATTGCATGACTGTGGCTTAATGACTTTTCAATGCCGTTCACACATATGTACTGCTGCTGCTGGAGCATGCAGCAGGAGGTGGCTGTGATTATCTCTGTGGAGTTAATATGTGGAGTAAGGAAAACAGACATCCCCCAAACTCTGGCAGTAAACACAAATGTTTCTCCTTCCTTTTCCCTCCTCAGCAGATCTGATGTCAACACTGGAGTGAGTAGTAATGTTATGATTATTATTATATTCATGTTGACAAAAGTTATAGTTAGTCTAGTTATAGTTTCTGGAGTAACTTTTGTATATTGTGTGTTAAGTGAGTACTGTTAAGCATTATAAGTAACTATGTAGTGTGACATCACGTTGAAAATTACAGTTAATTAAAATGTATCTTATAATATGCTGCTTAAACAAGGGGAATGAGACTGTTCCTAATGTGAAGTTTTCGAGTCACGATATTTAGTAAATGATACTTTATTGTCCCTGTAGGAAATGTGTCCTCTGCATTCGACCCATCCTGCAACACATCACTGTCAGGAGCAGTGGTACAGTGCCCGGCGACATCTTCAGATATTGATGCTCGGCTTTGTCAGGACCAGAGCTGGAGGATTTTACCTTTTGTACATGTGTTAGAGGAAGGGGAAACCGGAGCACAGGGAGAACATGCACCACTCCACTCAGAAAGGCCCTATTCCAACCTGAATTCGAACCCAGGACCCACTAACCACACCGTGCTTCCTTCTTTTGAGAAAAAGCTGCTCTATAGCTGGACTAGTGGCTAAACATTCATACACGTGAATACTGGTCATGTTCCAATGACTTTGTACCTGGAAAAGGAAGAGTTAAATATAGACTTCCTCCATCGTTTAGAAACCAAGTCCCACACTCTTGCGTTAAGTCATTTCCCCGTGTACATCATACTGGCCTCTCTCTCCCACTGTGTAACTCCTTATTTAATCTTGAACACTGGTTAGTTGTATTCTGCCAAACGTTGACGTGAAAAAATACACAAAAGTCAGTTGGAAAAGCCTCATTCCCCAGCTCCACACACACTTCGGACGGGAACACATGTGCGGTCACAATAGGCCTCTGTATAACTCCTCACACACCTCCATGAAGGTCTCGGCCCAGACTCGAGAGCGAACTTTGAGGATGGCTGTGGTCCCTCGCTCCAGCAGACCCACGTTGCACTGCAGCGTCCAGCACTCCACATCGGAACAGGACTGAAACACACACACACACACATACTGTCATTACATAAATGTCTTAGGATGTAGAAGGTCGTTTTGTCTGCAGATAAAACAAGAGATGGACTTTTAGAAATAATGATCCATATACAGTATATTTACTTATGTCTATATTTTGACTTCAATGGCAATTAATGTTCAAGAAATTAAATAGGAATGCATAAATAGTATTTTTTGTTAATATGGGCCGGAGCGATGGATAAAGGGGCCTTTATTTTTATTTTTATATTTTACTAAATCATTATTTTTTGCCAAACCTTATCGTATCGTTTGGAAATATATCATACCGAAAGTCCCCTGTGTTTAGAATAAACTCAATCCTAAGATATTAATTGAGATTCAGCCATAACTGTGAATATTAACGGCTTATTAACCGAGCGCGAGGTCTGTATGGAGAAATATCAGGCCGCGGCCTTAACGTACAGACCGAGCCGTGGCGAGGTCTGTGCAAAAAGGCCAAGGTCTGATATTTCTCTGTACAGGCCGAGCAAGCGAGGTTAATAAATGTTTTATTATATGACTCTCGTCTGTGTCTTTATCAATGCTTTTGAGATATTTGTTAAGTATGTTCATGTCCGACTTGGTTTTGTGTGATACACGCTGCGGACAGATTGTCATGGTAACGGTCCGAGGAAAGATATCAAATGTGATACGCGCTGTTCGGACCAATTGTCATGGTAACGGTCCGAGATGGGAAAATATCAGACCGGTAATCAGCCAATCAGAGCGTGCATACGGTCCAAGTCATATAATAATCATGTTTAATCTATGTACGATTTTAATGTGTCCTTTCTTTTTTGTGAAGCACTTGAGTGACCATGTGTGAACTGTTCTATACTAATAAACTTGCCCACGCTTCTAAGAGCTTACAAAGGTCTACTTTTTCCAAAACAATCAGCACCACAAAAAAATCCATCATTCCAACACTGCAACCTTTACAAACGTTTAAAAACCGCCGCGATCCAGGAACACATGGTGGAACCCCTCGCGAGAGCAAAGAAAAACAACACCAGTCAAATGTGGTAAAACAGTCGTGTTCATGTTGTCGGTTCAATAAATAAAACAAAGAGCTCAATGTTATGATCCGTATTGCGCAGCCTGCTTCGAATTACGATGAAGGAATGTCATGAGACTGTAAGAAAGCACTGCCCTCTTCATCACTTCCCCACCGCAGAACGAGGCAATTGTACTTAAGCCTTTAATGCACGTAATAAGGCATCTGAGAGGAAGTTGGTGCAAAGAACAATTCAATAAACAGCATTGTCTTTTCAAATCTGGTGTTAGAAGACCACCCCTAAGTGCGAGGATCTGGGGGTTCTGTGTGGATGTTTATACACATAGACTGTATATTACCACTGCCTGAATGCGGGAGAAGCTGATTTGAACATAGCTGGAGCCAATGTATTGATACAGGCTTTTGTTCTGACGGCGTTAGCTTGGCGGCGGAACAGGGATGAGTTGCTATATGTCAAAATATAAACACCAGAATGCGCTAAACCACATTTTTTTAAGCTCAAAATGGTGAGTGTGATACTAATGGTTACTGAGCTGGATGAGTTTACAAGCCAGAGTGAGTTGGAGCAAAACTTTGTCCATGAGCACTTCCTTATTGGGCTTCATAAACAGAATCTTAAACAGCTTGAATTTGAGATGAGCAATTAGAATTTTAACTGTATTTATTTTACCTGTAAGTAATTCAGTTATTGGTTCTGCATCTTTATTTTTAGACATTTTCAAACAGTGTATAATATTTCAACCCTGCATGATGATTACCGAACTATTTTGACTAGTGCACGTTGTAAGTTGTACACAAGTTTGACATTTATTTTGTTAAAACCTCTTCTTGTGTTTTAATTGTTTGATTCTCTAATCTGTTGTAGGTGAATTGACGTTCAGACAACATCCACTGAGACAACCGCTCTTGTGATTTTGGTCGATACTAAACCTCTGCCCCTTACGGACCAATACCGATGTGTTTTCTGTTTTATTTCTTGTGTTTGAACGGTTTGATTCTCTGATCTGTGTCAAGTCTAAACACTGTTGTGATTTAGGGTTATACAAGAATACATTGAATTGATTTGAATTGAAAACAGAGTGGAATTGAATTGAACAGCCAGTCATTTAGAGACGATTTTGTCGCACATGGGGGGAATTGAACCTGTGACCTACCGCAGCAGTGGAATAATACCTTCATTGCACAGAGACAGCTAAAGGACACCCTGAACAGAAGTGTGACTATATGCTTGTGTGGCACTTCCAGCTCTTCAAAGCGCTCTGTGACCTCCTCGGCCACGGTCACTGATCCATGACTGACCGCACTCTCCTCGCACACACAGAGAGATTTCTGTCCCACCTTTTTCCCAGCTCACAAAATAAAAAGTGCAGACACTGGGCCAAATCCAGAAAGACCTCCTTCTTCCCAACATGTCATTGGACACGCTTGATAAACGACGGCCAACAAAGAGCTCTTTGGGCCCGGGGCAGGTATAGCCACAGCAGGGGGCCGGGACAGAGGCCACACCTGCTGCTGTGCGCATCAATAGGACCAGTGTGAGGGGAGGTGTTCTGTTCACGGGACGTCACAGGCTCCCATCCCAGGGTTCAGAATGATGAAATATGAGGACGGCTGCCATGGTGATTCCAACCGTGTGAAAAGTCATTGTAATAATTTAAAAGCGATGAGAATAGTTTTGAAATGAAAGAGAATCAAGAAGTTTGAGATAAATAATGTTCTGCGGAAATCCAGATGTATCTTTTGGTATAAAAACATGTCATATTTCTGCCTGAGGAAGAGTGCGCCAGAATACTTAGGGTTGGTCAAAGTGAATCAATACTAAAACTATTTATTTCATATATTTATTGATTGATTGGACTAATTTGAGACAGAATGTATTTATATAATACAACATTAAATCAAATTTCTCTTTTCTGGAACAAAAAATTGTCAATTTTAAACAGAAGCATTGATAAATGATGGGCGTGATATAGAAGATGGAATATTGAGTATTTTTGTCTAGTATCAAAGTAAAGTTTGAAATTTGGAATCGTGACAACACTAGCACTTAGGGCTGGGCAATAAATCGAAATTAGGCAATGTATTGGGTTTAGAAAAAAATCTAATTTGTGAAAAATAGGAACATTGTGAAATTGAATGAAGGATACTGTGAGAGTTCCAGCAGCACATGAATTATACTTGCAATATCAGCACAGTACAAGACTTTTATAATTTGTACTGGGGGAAACAAATTGAAAATCGTTTTGAAACTTGAATATTGAGCAGAAAGATCGAAAAATATAAAAGTCTGTCTTCGGTGACTTTAACGAAAATCTATTTAAAATCGAAATTGTCCAAAGCAGGAAGTAAAATCGGGATAATGCTTTTTGCCATATCGCCCAGCCCTACTAGCATAATTTAGTTCAGTTGGAGCACTGTTGTCATGGTGATTTGTTATTAGAAACAATAAAATGTGTATTGAATAAGAAAGAGGAAGCTGAAACCCAAGAAACAAGAACTAAACTCTTGGTATTCCGTTCCAAACAGGACAATTTACAAGTGGTGTTTATGTCCACAACAATTAAAACTAAACATCATTCAATGCAAAGAAAAATCTCTGTATTAACTATTAACAATGAACTCCCTAATAAACACACACTACACAGCACAACAACAGGGCGTCTCATCCGTCAGTAACCAGAGCATCAGTGACAACAACACCCCCTGTTTCTCCCACCACGCCCCTGCATCGTTCCCCCCCCCCCAAAAAAACCTTTTAATGTTAACGACTGCCCCGCACCCAGTGACCTCCTGGTTCTACTGCCTCAACATAATTAGTGCACCGCGGGAGCAGAGAGCGGGACTCGAGCTAACACCCTTTACATCACACCTACGGACAATAAGCATAATGTTAGCTTTGAACCTGGTCGTGGTGAGTGTATAAGTGCATTTGGCCCAAAACGGTGAAGTGAGGCTGCTCATTGTGGCACATTTGAACTAATGCAATGACTGTAGATTGTGTTACCTTAGCTGCTGTAGATCGGAGTGTGGAGAAATGCAGGATTTGTCACAATGTTCTCTACTGTTCTTTCTTTTGTGATGCCCGCTCCAACGCTATGGATCAGTATGGAAGAATCTGCCTCTGTGAGTTAGATCAACTGACTTCCTGATTATAAAGCCAATAGGATGTATATCAGGGTCATTCCCCCCAGAGCAAAAACCCTGTGTTGTCTCTTTCTTTCGCACTGAGAGACACGGATTGGTGTGTCAGAGCGACTTTGCATTTAACCCGCCTCGTGAGGTAGTCTTTTTTATCTGTGCCGTGTTCAAAATGTACGTTACGCCCAAATACATCAGTAACAATAAAAGTAAAAATACACTGTCATGGTGTGGACTTTTTGTGGTTTTATTTTGAGACATTTGTTCTTTAGTTTACTTCCTGTCTGTCCTGTTGATTTTTGGCTTGTGTTTATTGAATTAGAATTTAATTTTGCAGTTAAGCTTTTATTTCCTTCTTTGTTTTATCCTGTGACATAAATGTGGGTCAGGTGAATAAGGTTAAATAAGTATCCACATGTCACCTGTAGTTTGGGCCTTTACACACACTATTCTTTCCTTTACAAAGTTGTTCTCGTAAAAAAATATGTTTTAAAATGTTTATATTGCTCCATGTGGATGATAAACGTTCTGGAAATCCATTATAATGTGATTCCCTGGGTCCTGGGTGCACTGCGCTGTGACTTATTTTGAAAGTCAGAAGTTTGTTTTGATTCTTTGTTCTGTCTCACGTTCCTGTGTTCTTTGTGGTGAAAAGCTGACACGGGACCAAACATCATGCCAACCTTTCTCACCAACATGTGTTAAACACCAGTCTGCAGTATGAGTTTTTCTTACCAGGTTTGTCAAATGTGAGAGCTGGTTTTTGTGGACGTCCCTCTTCTCGATGCGGTGCTCACTGGCTTTTAGAGCGAGGAGAGGAGATTCTGTCGCTGTGCGCTGGATCTGGAATAAAAAGTAATAGTCCATAATTATGTATTCTAGAATTTAACAGCATTTCATTTGTCCTCACAACATGTATGATGTATGTAACTTTTGTCTATTATAATGAGTAATTAATGAGTGGCTATATGAAAACCACACACTCCAAATAGGAATATATTTTAATTTATTATAAAATCTACACTTTCAACCCTGAAAAACTAGTTCCTCGCTCTCAAAGGACTTTGTCACATCTTTCAATCAGTTGATCTCAGACAGAAAAGTGAAAAAGACAGGACCACCCTGACTCAGCCAATCAGCTCAAAGTGCCAAAAAAGTGACTCCCGGGGCTCTTCATTACAAGTATGCAACAAAAAAAAAAACATTTAACATAAGATAAAGTGTGTCGCGGTCAGATTTGTTCACAACATTTTACTTTTACTTAGAGTTTCTGATTGACTTTCTGTTGGGATAAACAAAATCTTCTGGGTTTTTTTCTGCATGACTCTATAGTTCAAGCCTCTGCATCAAATCTATCGTGATGGTTCTCATACAAAACAGTGCATATCAAAATAACTAATCTCATTTCATTTTAGATTATAAAATCGACATCATTGATAAAGTACCGGCTCCTGCACCAGTCTCAGGTATCTGTCTGAGTGCTGTCTATGATATGTTGTCTTCTTTCTCTCTCCGTCACACTGCTCCTAAAGTCGTAGCATGACCCGAAGGCGTGTTGCATTAATCAGAAGCATGTGAGAGCGGTGGCACAAGCTTCTCGTGGAAACTCAGTCCAAGTCACAGGGGAAAGAGAAACATGCGATCTGAGCGGAGATAGATGACCCCCAATAACCGCCACATGACGTAAACACAAACTCAAAACTCACCCAGATGCCCACGGCAACAAGAAATACATGTGCTGTTTAAATCTAGAATTGCCCTAAATTTAAGAAGATTTTAAATTATTTATTGTTGTCCATAATACACGTTTGTATGCTTAAAGTACAGTAAGTAGCAACAAAAACAAAAAAAACAGCTAAATCCACTGAAAATTAGATAAAAACTTACATTGGCTGAATTATGTTAAATTAGTTTTGTAAAGTCAAAGATAAATGGTGTTTTGAGATTTATTCATATATTTCCTTGATTCCAGAGTGTGTTGGAGTTATTGAGTTCATAATGCTAGCTTTGCAGTATTATGCTGTGCTTATAAAATAATAACTATCTTATATTATTTATTTATGTAAATAAAATTGGTTCTTAATATGGCTCGTGCACTTGAGGACCACTGCGCTGCACAAGTTTTCATGATTTTATTTCACATTAGCCTCCAAAACAGTGGTCTTCAAGCTGAAAAAAATATTGTGACAGAAACAGCACATTTTCTTTTTCAAACTAAAGTCAGACAAATGTATATGTTTTTGTTTACCATCCTTTAATCCTAATTATTCACCGCAATTAGTTTATGAGTGCTTTCCACAGCTTCAACAGGCCGTCACGGTAAACTCACGTTAGCACTACGCTTACATCCAAATGCTAGCTTTAGTTAGTGATCTCGACAATATCACGGGGGTAAAAAAGTGCAGTACATCTTCTTGAATTGAGCACATACAGTTGTGTTTTTCTGTGAATGTATTTTGGACTGAGGTGGTCCATCAAGCAGCAGGGGATGAGGGATGAGGAGTTCAAAGCCCTTGTCTTGGGTGGGACAAAGGAGCGCTTCAGAGCAGAGCTGACAGCTAATCAAACAAAGAGCTCAGGCTGTCACTTTAAAGCTCGGGTATCTAACTTTCAAGCCACAAGAAAATCAACTACAGTATGTAAAAATGTTCAATCCGTCAAAACAGTTTGGTTCAATTCAATCAATAGTTTTTACATCAGTATTTTGACAGTAACTTGACAGACTCCTGTTGAATCTATAGACAAAAATGATGTACCCCAGCTTTAACAAACCGTTTATGTTTCCCCTCTTTTGGGTGATTATCTGGAAACAAATCATGGTCTAAAACTTGATGCTCACAAAGGCCTTGTACTAAGACTGTGACTAGCAATTATGCTGTAACTATATTGTTGGCATTAATTTACTTTATCAATTAAATCCTACACTTTCTTTGAAAAGTCAATTTGCAAAAACAGATGAGCATCATTTTTGAGCAAATTCTTTCAAATGTTCTGTCAGTAACAAAAAACAGTGAAGATGTAGCAAGAGGAATACAACTTTTTGACGCATTTTCAGTTTTTATAACCTCATTTCATAAGCGAATACTCATTTAGTCGACTAGAAATAGAAATAGATTGATTCCAGCTCTACTTTTTTCCATTGTTTTGAGATCAAAGTGGCTCTTTAAGGTAAATGACATACGACATGGAGCAAAAGAGGCCAACTGTCTAGCCGGTTTTTCTCAGAGAAAGAGGGAGAGAGTACGATGAAAGCAAAACCAGCACTGGAAAATGGCTCACAAACTCATTTAGCAGAATAATTATGATACTAATGTGTGAGTGACTTTTTCGTCTTCAGAGTGAGTGACTTTGATTTGCTAACGTCTCTTTGATATCCAGCCTTTGCTGTTACCTTGAGGTTGCGTGCGTTCATGCCGTGGTCAGAGGTGCAGTTGATGGGGCCCTCGGTGAAGAACTCCACAGGATAGAGCAGGGAGTGTCCCGGGACGCTGAGGGGGCAGTGCAGCCGCAGGATGGTCTGGCTGATGCGACTGGGGCCGTTGTTCACAAGCTGGAAAAGGAAAAGAGGACAACCATTAGGTTTCAAAATACAATTATTATATTGCACAATACAATATACATGTAGTATCGTCGCTGGCACCGCCCTAAGTTGGTTTAGGTCTTACCTTGAAGACAGGAAGTACTTTGTGGAGATTGGAAACTGTGTCTCAGATCATATGGCCCTGACCTGTGGAGTCCCACAGGGGTCGATCCTGGGACCTCTTCTGTTCAATCTCTACATGCTGCCGCTAGGTCAGTTAATACGCAGAAACGAAGTGTTCTATCACAACTATGCAGACGACACTCAGATCTATGTCTCACTGACTGTAGGAGAACATGGACCAGTGGACTCACTCCTTCACTGTATCCAACAGATCAGTGAGTGGATGCAAAACAACTTCCTTCAGCTAAACGCAGACAAAACTGAAATGATTGTCTTTGGTCCCCAGAAACAAAGAGAGAGCGTCATCTGTCACCTTCAGTCTCTCTCCCTAAAACCTTCAAACAAGGTCAGAAATCTAGGGGTAATACTGGACTCAGACTTAAATTTTAATAGCCACATCAAATCAGTAACATCAGCAGCTTTTTACCATCTAAAAAACATTTCCAGGATCAAAAACATAGTGTCTAAAGCAGACTTGGAGATTCTTATCCATGCATTTGTCTCCAGTAGGTTAGATTACTGCAATGGCCTGCTCACAGGTCTGTCCAAACAGGCTGTAAAACAGCTGCAGTACATTCAAAATGCAGCAGCTCGAGTCCTGACTAGAACCAGGAAGTACGACCACATTAGTCCAGTTCTCAGGTCTCTGCACTGGCTTCCTGTGGCTCAGAGAATAGACTTTAAAACAGCTCTGCTTGTGTACAAGTCTCTCCATGGCCTCGCACCAAAATATATTAGTGACATGTTAGTCCCATATGAACCAGCCCGGACTCTGAGGAGCACAGGGACTGGACTCCTGTTAGTGCCCAGAGTCAGAACTAAACATGGGGAGGCTGCTTTTCAGATTCATGCTGCTAAAATCTGGAACAATCTTCCTGAAGATGTGAGACAGGCCTCCTCTCTGTCAATGTTTAAAACCAGGTTAACAGTTCTGTTTAGCTGTGCATACAACTGAGGGATTTCATGTTTTTATCTTTCTTTTTAATGTTCTGTGATTATTTATGATTTTAATGCTTTCTTGTTTTGTTCAGCACTTTGAGTTGCCTTGTGTATGAATTGTGCTATACAAATAAACTTGCCTTGCCTTGCCTTGCCTAGTATAATAGTTGTATACAGTCAGAGTACTACACTGTGAAATATTCCCATTCTTTAGAAGATTATATAGCCTCGGCCGCTCAGGTGCTGAATCAGTTTGTTGGTGTGTGTTTTACTCTTTGAGCAGCTACTTATTGAAAAGATACAGAATACATGCATCTTCTCACATCAATATAAATCAACCATGATGGCAGCCAATGTTATCACTGGGATATGCTAAGATGCTAACTAGGGCTGTAATACGTTTAGCTTCTTTTTTTTTTTACTTTGTACAGACTTAAACTTGCTTAGACTGATGACTCGGATAATTCTATAGTGACTGCAGGTTCTCCATGTGAACCAGAATGGATTGAGTTGGAGAGAATAAAGTCATTTAAATAATCGACTGACTTAATTCAATAAGTTTGAACACGTCCCAAAGTGTCTACCATTGGCCTCGTTGACCACCAGGCCCCTACTCATTCCTGATTCATTTGTAGACCATACGTAGACCATGTGGACCAGAGCTGGGCTGGACTGTCTCAGGTGAAAAGCCAACTCGCAGCTGTACATAACCACAGAATGCTTTACAATAAATTCTTGTGGAACTTAAAGGAAATACCTCGTAGATGTGCTCCACAGCAGGCCCGATGTCCTGCTCCTGACCGTACGGTTTGGTCACTTTCCAATTTGCCGGAGGGAAGAAGACTTTATCAGGCCTGGACACACTGCAGAGGAGGAGAGCACATGTGTAAGGAGCAGCTCCAGAGCCAGTATTTGTACCTAGGGATCTGTAGCTATCAAGTATTGGAGCATGTTGAGTTTTATTTCTCTCGGTGGAGATTTTCCATTGATGTTATAAGGAGATCACTTGCTATTTTTAGTCTGATTATAGAGCTTTTTAATAATCAGTTGCAAAACTGGAAGCGTGCTGTTATGGGTAGCTTCTGTCAAATTGGAGGCAAAAAGGGCTCTTGTCACTAAAGTTTTTGAAAAGTGATTGCAAATTCCTGAAAGTGAAGAAAAGCCTGGAATGTTGCATATTGTAAAGAATGAACCACTCTGGTTTAAAGACAAAAAACAAAAATAGGGCCTTTAAAGCTGGGGTACCTACATTTCAAACACAATTAAATCCATCTTATGAGTTCTTCACTCTAAAAAGTTTGGGTCTTTCACTAGTTTTACATGCATGTATGTTTGGCCTCTCGCATTTAGAATGATTTTTTTTCCGACAAAAAGTTGAAAAAAGGACCACCCTATCAGCCAATCAGATTTCAGTCCAAAGGGTCAAACAGCAGCTCACAGGGATCTTTCTTACAAGTATGGAAAATATAACTACTAAAACTTATTTATGAGTCCCCAACTTTAAGCAAAAGGAATGATAACAGCAAAGTAGACAAGTCCTGAATGAAACTACTTTTCAAATATCTTAAAGCGAGTAAACATCGCATGTCATGAATATATTGTGAAAACAAAAGTCTAAAAAAACAAAAGTGTAGTCTTAGAAGTGGGGTTCATTAGAAACAGTAAGTGTCAAATGTTGAAAGTACTTTGTATTGTATTACTGCGCTCTCCGGTCGGGAGCGTGTGTTTTGAATCAAACGCCACATTTCTAATAAATGAGGCTATCCCAACCTTTAACTCACCCTTGTAAAATTACATCTGCCTGGACAACCACCTCCAGCTTGTAGGTCACCACCTCGCTGTGGGAATTATTCTCATTTTTACTGTGAAGGAAAAGAAAAAAGTCTGATTACTAGACGGTTTCAGTGCGTGCCTACAGCTAACCAGACTGCATACGCACCATATTTCACAGACTTTATTAGGGGGGAAAAAGTACCTGCGAATCTGCAAGTCGAACTGGACGGTCTTGTGCGTGTCCTTCAGTCTGGGCACAGTGAAGCGGAGCCCCTCCCACATCTGCAAAGATATTCATCCAGAGTCAGCAGCCGTCAGCAGGATTTTGTGTCACATAGGCAAACTCAGGCCAATTAGTATCTACATAGTCCCATACATGCAGTCCAACAACGAACAGGGACTGGGTAAAGGTTTACGAACATTGTTAAAAAAAGAAATACAGAACTTTAAGGTAATATTATGTTTTGTTTTTAGCACCAAAAAATGCATAATTTGACCAGCAGGCTCACAAATCCACAAATCTAACACGTATTTGATCCAGAGAGTGGTTTCCTACACTGCTTGTTTCCATGGAAATACTTTTGCTTAATTGTTAGAGCATATTTTATAAAAAGTTTTGCTGAATTGAGACAGAAGTAACACATTTATATATATAAGTTTGCCAGATTTATGTACTGTATACAACATAATAGGAGTAAGATAAATAAAACATTATAATACAATACAAATAAAATAACAATTATATCCATAAATACATGGGAAAATAAATACAATGGTAACACAATAAAATAAATAAAACAGAGGATCACACAACTCACGCGGTGTGAAAAGCCAGAAAGTAACTATAATTATTATTTCCTCGAGTATGACATGTAAGGAAGTACTTGTTATTGTATGGAAAAATTCTGAGGACCTGCCACCTTCAGAGAGATGCAGGTTTTCATTTTAAATATAGAGTTAAGCTTCATTCATCCCACTGCAGGGGAATTTCAGAACAAAAAAATGTGGTGACATGTCCGGTAAAAATTAGCAGAGAAATCTAGTGATGCTCTACGACGTAAAACTACAACACACTGTCTGTTTGTGTTTCCTTCTCCTGAATATTTGCCCCTCACGTCCATAGGAAGCCTGTGAGTGACTGCATTATGAACTCAGCTCTGAAGGAAGCAGGGGCCTGGTCTTCCTGTCACCGCACATCCTGACTCTGGTCCCAAACTCAAGGACTCCTGCACTTTTTCCACAACGGGAAACAGAAAATCTCATCTCTTTAAACAGACGACAAACTTACGCTGGTGCCTGACTTCATGGGGTTTCCCAGCTCACAGCTCAGAAACCGGGTCTGGTTCTCCGTGTCGTAGCTGCAGGTGAGCTGGTTCCGACTCTGTCAAGAAAACATATTTTAAGTTGATATGAACAATAGGTTGTGCATGTATTTACATATCTCTTCACAAATCCAGTAGCCCTATTTAAAGCTGAGGTACCTAACTTTCCCTCCATTTATAATACACGTTAGTTGGCCAAACAGAAAGTCTAGTAAAAGTAAAATTTTGAGAACCAATCAAAACATTAACACCAAACGTATTAGATTAGTTTTCTTTTTTCTGGGAGTCACTATTTGACGCTTTAGGCTGCGAGCTGATTGGCTGGATGAGAGATCCATATTTTTTCACTTTTCTGTTTGAAAATCTTATCCATAGATGTGACAGATGCTAAATATACATGCAGCTAGTGATAGAACCAAAGTGCTTTCAGAAATATTTACATTGTTGTGTGGTTTGAAGGTTTTGTACCTTAGTTTTAAACAAAGTGCCAAAATAGTTTCTCCATGTTTAATGTACAAAATCAAAACACGTTTAGCTAAAAGATCCCAGAAACATCCCATAGAGTTGTATATAATAATATTAACCTCATTGTTGCGAGCGATCCCGCTGTAATCTGCTTCCGGGGGCAGGACCACGTAGAGCTCGGCCTCGTAAGCTCCGCCCTCTCCCTCGTTTCTTGCGTTAAAAGTCAAAGTCAGCGCGTTTTCGTCGCCCAAATAAACTTCTTTACGATCCCTGAAAGACATGATGTAGAAATATGATTACATTTGTCATTTGTTTTGTTCATATGTCAAAACTAAAGCATCAAACGCATCACACGAGAGCAGAGAGCAGGTCTGAAGTCTTTGAAGTTCACATGGAAAAGGTTTGGAACTATGGTCAAGTTATTATACTATATTTTAAGAAACCAGGAGCAAAAGCAATTATTTTCCATTCAAGAAGTACATAGATGACACAAACAAACCAGGTTACTGTTAAAATAGACGGACCGTATCCCAAAACAAAATCTCAAATAGATTTCCTCACTTCAATTTTCTTTCCAACAAGTGTATCACCCCCTGAATTGGACTAACCCTAAAGTGCGGGGCAGGGGCACAGAGACATTGACTTGGGGAGGCTTGTGATTTTAATATACTTATGTGATCAGGGACAATGCACAATAAACATTAATCAACAACATGCTATGTGCAGGATTTAGCGCTTCAAAAAAAGGCTAGTTTCCCTCGTATCCCCTGGACAGACTGATGATATTTCAGTGACTGATTGAGGGTCCATTTACAATAAAACAGCCTTATTCAATCCACTCACTACTACTAATGATAAGATTTTAGGATACAATTCTGAATGTTGTAATAGCATTTCACCACTTCTTTAACTCAAAAGAACTTTTCATAAGTGCAAAACGGTCAAATAACAATAACCATGAACACTTTGGACCCGTAGCTACTGATTTTCTCTGTTTAAAACCAAACTAAAGACAGATGTATTTGTTTTGTGTCATTTCACTGCATGTTTTTATGTGACCGTGTGGCTACCATTGTAATAAATGATCTATCTATCTATCTAGCCTTGTATTTTGGCATGTTTCAGGGACTCAAAATGAAAACTTAGAGAACCACTTTTCTGATATATTAATTCTTTCTCGGATTAAGAAAGTAACCATGACTGGCATCGCAGAAGAGGGCTGTGTTCCACCAGAGAAATGCATTGGATAATTCGTCTTAAAGGTTTCCCCCATGACTTCAGCTTTTCCAGACTTGTAAAAGTGTTATAGGTGCAAAGTAACAGGCCAAAGCGACGTGAAGCGCCTCCTCGATGCTCACGCGCTCACTACACTTTCCATGGAGGAACAATACAAGGCCACACAGATGATTTTAATTACAAAGCACTTATGAGAAGCAGGATGGAAACAGAGAGAGTGAGTTCTTAAAGTTAATCCTGAACTGGTGAGGCTGAGACCTATTTAAAGACTTATTGAACTTTTGTCTGCTGGAATTACAGTTTACAACGCCTGTGGATCAGAAAGAAAGGGGGGAATATTCAACATGCGTGAATGACTGTAAAAACAACTTTGAAAGGGTGAATTAGAAGTCACTTTTGCACAATATGTTCCATTTGTTAGAAGGGAACAGTGGTTTACTTTTGTTGAGAGTATTATTTGCCTGAAACACACAAGCCAAAAAAAAAATGTTTTGAAACCAACCAGATTCTAGTAACATATAGACAGCAACACCAATCAATGCATCCTCATTGGACAGCAAAAAAAAAAAACAGAATCACAATTGCAATACTGTCAATTGAAACTTTCTCGGTAAGTGTAAACTATTACTATCAAAGATTGGCCTTTGCACATCCTGCTCTTTCCTAAATGAAGTAAAACACGTGCTAGATATAAATGTAATTATAGATGAGATTCCCTCAGGTCTTGGGTGTACTGTGCTCTTGACTTGAAAGTTCTTTTTGACACGTTCCAGTCAAGGCGAGCATTTTAAGATGGGCATTTCAAAACCTTTTATCACTAAAGCACGTTTAACAGACAGTGTTACAAAGCACTTTACAATTACGGGCAGTTTTAGGAGCACTTGGGGGAAACCTACGCTGACATGGGGAGAACACTCAAACTCCACAAATCCCTGTGCAGTATTGGTCTAAGCCTATAAGATAAGAGAACCTTTATTCATTCCCCACGTTCTATTCAGTTTGAGAGAGAAATAGAAACAGAAGATCCTTTAGGTACAGTATGTAATTCTGTAGACGCAGAGATTGTGTTGACTTTACAATGAGCGGTAAACTGGTAAACTAAATAACAGCCCCGCCGTGTTGATTTGCACTGCATTTACAGCAGGTTGTTCCTTCCAGCATGTGATGGATCCACCATATACAGGGAGAAACTGGAGACAGATGTTAGATAAATATAGGAATGTGAAATGAAATGACAGGGAGGGTATGGAGTATCGAGAGCGCGGTATTTCTGAAGTAAAATGTTAACAGACTTCTGAAATCAAAGTGTGGTAGTGGTGTGTTTTTGACAGCTTAGGAGCAACTTATGGTGGGAATTAGGAGAAAACCAAGAAACTGTATCCACTGTGTGCACTGCGGCCCTTGCAAAACAAATGGATGAGAATGGTCATGTGACTGGACCATTACAGCAACACACAAAAGAACACCATTACTGATATTAACTGCAACATCAGTAATGGTATTGAATATATAATATCTAACTTGTTGAGGTAGAGTGTGTGTCCTTTGAGCTGAAGGTTAGCGTTTAGAATCCTGCTCCTGACATAAAAATCATTGTGTGGCTGGTGGGAACTCAGCTCCCATTGGTGATTGTTGCTTTGTGTCCTTGGGCAAGACACATAACCCTCCTCAGCCCCTGTGTCTACATACACTGGTGTATGAATTAGTGTGTGCATTTAAGCAACGATGAGTATACTACATAATATTAATAATGCATTGGTTGTTCCCAATAGTGATAATCACCTGGTGTTACCTGAGGTCTCCCATCACAGAACAAACCAGGCCCTGCCCTGCATAGCTTCATATGTCTGATGGCATCTAGCTTTCACATGCAGGTTAGGCTGTGTGAAAAACAATGTAATTTTAATGGTTTGATCCAAAATGTTCTGTCACTAGATTGAAAAAGATAAAATGTTTAAAACCATCGAGACCACCAACAAAAAACATTCATAAGAAATCCAAAATATGAATGCATTCAATCAGCAAGACACTGATGAGGTCCACAAGAATGAAACAAGATTGTGTTACATCATCTGTAATCATTCTGTATTTCAGTAGATGTTATCCTATTCACCATACTCACATTGTTCTTGATGTCTATTTATCCAGGCTTTCTGGAGTTATAACATCACCCGCCATATGAAAGCAGAAAGAATCTCACTAGATCAAATTACACACATGCTGCGGCAAATTTAGTCTCACAGGGCCCCGTCCAATCGCTAATATAATTCATACTGACTATACTTTAAGAAGAAAAGACAAGCAGCTGCCTTACATTGTTAGCGCTCTGTAGTAAAACCTATGGAAGGAAACTGCTCGTATTGCTGTAACGCAGACTATTACTACCAGGGGTTCCAATCCAAACAAAGCAGGCGAGCAACAAAAGCAGCTGTATTGTGTTTTGGCAGCGAAAGTCCCATTTGCATAAAGGAGGTGAAGAGTTCACCGTCTGACCGTGTTCACAGGTCAACATATATAATGGGTTTTCCACTCGAGTACATTTCCTCGACACATTTATGTCTGAGGACCGACTTCGAGAGACTTACCCCAACACGACCAGCTTCAAGTCCGGGACACAGATGTTGTCCTCTCCACAGTCCAGCAGGATCTGAGCCTGTGAATGAGGCAAAGGGCGTCAGATTAGTATTTATGTATTTAAATATTATGTTAAAATGACTAAAAAGGTCTACTACAGTATGTCCTGGTGGGTCTTTCATGCTCTTAGGAAATGGTATTGCCTATGGCAGGCCAGAATAAACCATGGCAGGCATGTTCAAACTAAGGCCCGAGGGCCATTTGCAGCCCACTGTGTCATTTTTGTGGCCCTCTGCCCTTGTTCACACAAAGTACCATAGAAATTATGAACACAAGTTCATAGTGTCATTCAGCCAACTTCAGCGCTGCCAAAAGAGGAATGTTATACCTTGTTGTAAATCTCAGAACCTCTTCATTCCATTGATTTATATAAACTGTACTTGCATTTTTGTTTCCATCAGTTTTTGAGAAAAACTGATGTCCGTTTTGAGGTGTGAAGTTGTCATTCAACCAACTTCACATTATTCATGCTTCATACCCAACTTTTCATTTCAAAATGCACCGATTCCTGTTTTAAGTCCATGTTGTCGGCCCCTAGACAAGTCAGCTGAACTAAAGTGGCCCTCTAACTAACACCCCCGGCCTATGACATCAGGAGTGCTCCATAAATGCAAATACAGTAGCTTACAGAAGTACTAATACAGTGTGAACTTTTGAGAAGTTTGTCATGTATATTACTGCATAACCTATATATGTTTTAAGACCACAGCAAAATGTTGCCAACTGTGAAGTTAATGTGAAGCATAATGAAACATGATTTTGTTTTAATTCATATTCACGAGGTGAAATTGGCCTGTCAAAATCCAGACCTAAATGTAAAACCTGAAAACCGCTGATCACAAACAATCTGCCTGAGCTTGAGTTGTTGTTGAAAAACTTTCAGTCTCCAGATGTGCAAACCTTGTAGAGTCATACCGCAAAATTGCTGATGTGATTGCAGCAAAATGTTTTCCACAGAATACTTACAAGCCCCACATTTCACTTTTAAGCATATGTTGTTTTAAACAGATAATCATGTACTTTTAATTACTACTTTTCTTTCCGTTGGGACAGACTAAGGCCCTGTCCACACGAAGTCAAGCTCAGGCCTAAACGCAAAAATACTTTATCAATCCAGTGTATCGTCCATACGAGGCCGGCGTTTTGGGGGGGTGTAAACGAACATTTTTGAAACTAGGTCCCAGAGTGGAAAGATTTCAAAACTCCGTATATGCCGCTCCGTGGTTACTGCCTCTCCGCAATGTATCTGAGACGCTTGCGTCATCGCCCCGCCTCTTGTTAAAGCACGCATGCGCCGCACTCAGAAAATAATGACAACAACAATGTAGCTTGTTGGTTTTGTAATCCAGTGGGACCCGAAGCAACAGTTCAACCTCATCGTCCGTCCATACTAATGTAGTACCAGCTCGCCCACTCGCCATGTTGTCTGTTTACAAAATTCCGCGCATGCCCACGGAAGTTTGGGCTTGATCCCGTCATTGCGTCACAGCGCCACCAACAGGTCTGGCATAGTTTCACAGCGTTTTCAGGCGTATTGACTACATTCATATGGACGCACACATTTACTGAGCTAACTCCGTGTTTACAGAAAAAGTTTCTGAAATTATAAGCGTTTTGTCTTCGTGTGGATATAGCCTAAATGTATTATCTAATATCTAAAGTTAGGTACCCCAGCTTTAATATCTAACCTCATGTAAAAATAGACGTAGAGTCATTGTCTGATCCCAGTTGGAAGCACATTAAATACACCAGAATGGGATTTGACACAGAAGATAAACCTGCTCTGCGCCTGAGAGGGATAAAAGCGTGAGCGTGAGCGAGACGAGACGTGCGCTATGACTAACGCTGTAAACGCACGCACACCTGGACCGCAGCCACCTACTGCTTACACTACGCCGTTTCTTCACGTGAAAACAATGTCCGCTCGTCACACGGGGGACAGTGACGGGCTCCGGGGCAGCTGCGGCGTCGGGACATGTGCTTCCAGTTTGCTACGTAAGAGGAGGAAATGATGAGTCTGACTGAAGCCAAAGGAAAGAGGCTCAGAGGAGGACGGCTGTTCCACATGCAGCGTCCCACATCAGAGCGCCCTGTGGGTAACCAGCCTCCAACCACACACTACGCCACCCAGGCAACCTCATCACCGCTGTGTGATCACCGGGGTCGGGCTCAGGGACAGGCACCCGCCAACATACTGAGATGTTCGGGGAATAACAGTTGTAAATGGAGGAATTTTGTTTTACCAGAACATGTTTTCATTTTGTGGTAAAGACAACTATCTTTTTGAATTCTTGTTATGTTATTTTTTTTTTGGGGGGTTTTACACCAAGAAACATGGTGGCTGAGTGGATAGTACTTTCACTTCTGAGCAAGAAAGTACTCGGTTCAAATCCCGGTCGGAACAGAGCTTTTCTGACTGGAGTTTGCATCTTCTCCCCGTGTCTGTGTAAGTTTCCTCCGGGTTCTCCAGTTTCCTATACCACTAAAAACATGCACAATAGGTATGAATGTAATGAGAGAGTGAATTTGATTGTGGGCTTTGAAACGCCAGTGTGTTCGGCGACTCGCTTTCGTCATCACCGTGTGTGGAATGATTGGAACAATATCTGAACTCTAGAAAATTTAAAAGCGCTTTGGATGACCTGGGTCTGTAAAATGCGCTAAATAATTAAACATTACCTTACATTAATTTACATTACATTACAAGAAGGGTTCATTTTAATGCTGGTATTTACAGACTGGGAGACCATTGCTGTTAATGTAAAACGTAAATAATCCTGAACTAAAGGCTCCTTCAAGTCAATGAAAACATAGGGAAGAGACAAATTGCACCCAAAAAGTCTAGCGGTCACTTGTAGAAGCTAATAAGGATCAAAATAAATAAATAGATAAACATTTCCAGGTATCGTGTGAGTACTTGGTCAAAATCATCCATTACCACACCACTGTTTTCTACATAACCAGTTCAGGGATTTCTCAAATAACAACCAAGTTTTTAAAATTGTATTATATTTGGTAATTTCTTCTAATTGGTCTTTTTTTTTTTCAACAACAACAAAATAACTGGCTTCAGCCTCTGATCGGAGAAAATACGGTCATCACTTAAAGACATGCAAAGAAAAATACATTCCTTTATGTGATGTATCTAATAATTTATCTTATTTTATCTTATTTCAACCTAAATTATACGCAGAGGAGCGGCCACACTTTCTAAAATGTAAGCTATACAGTTTTTGTCAAAGAAATACATTTGAGACCAGTCTGAAGCACAACCAGTCAGAAAAATAAAGCATGTAATAAATACTGTATAAACATTTGACAAGTGAAAACTATTCTAACTACTCCGAGGACTCTTGTGACTTCTATAGTTTCTGGTTGTGTATATATTCAGTTGTATGGAGTGAAAAGCAAGACGTGGGTATCCAGATTACAGTGCAGGGCAGGGATAAATGAAACAGCGTTACCACTGGACGTGTGGCAGAGAAAGCCACAATTGCATCCCGCTGCGTCGTATCAGTGATGAGACTCATGACAGCAGCGGCAATAAATAGAAAACAGCAGAGATTAGAGGCACTGGAGCGGGCCCTTCTCATTACTGAAGCTCAAGCTCTAATTTGGGACACGATAGAAACCGCCGTGATGACTTGGCCCCATGCTCTGCCTGTTCTGTGTGTCTGAGCTAAGGACCTTTTTGCAACAACAACGATGCACAAGTCACAATCAGGGCAGGTCTTTGTCGCACAGAGATGACTATTATGGCTGCTGTTTGTAAGACAACACCAGCCGGGCTTTCGACTTGACCCAAACGACCGTTTTTGACCTGAAGCTAAGACTGGGAGATATGATTATAAATAATAATAATACAAATATTTGTTTAGTTCTTATACTCTATATACTGAGCCACAATATTCAATTAGATTCTTGTGTTTATGAATATGAGAAAATTAATCCCATGTTAGGTTTTTGGAACAACGGGTGAACTGGTCAAATATGAGGTCCGTTCTTCGCCAAAACACTGTGACAAACATTTGTTCAAATTTAAACAGTTAAGTTTACAAATTAATTGTTTCTTCTTTTTTTTTGGAACCACAATAATATTTGAGAAACATGTGGAATTTATTTACAATAATTTGGCAGGGATTTGGCCCCATGGTGTATCCATTTACTTTTGCGACATATAAAACGGAACTAAAACAACACCGAGCCAATCAGGCCCCGAAGAGAATCTTTATTGAGTTTTTAATCAATGAACTTTTGGCAAAGCTGCGTCTCAGGGTGAATGTTTTCTAAAGCAGGGGTGTCAAACTCATGTTGGTCCAGGGCCAAATTTATCACCTGGTCAGGGGTCAAAACTATAAAGGTTTTTTCGAGGAAAATTCAAGAAAAAAAATTGCATTGTGAAGGTATTTTGACAAGATCATTAACTTTACGTAATGTGAGTTTATTTTCAAGTATTTATTATAAACAAAATGATGTGTTTGAACCAAATATGGAGAAGGCATGTCATGGCTGATATGTCACTGTTTTTGTTTTTTTAACTATTTCTAAATCCATGCGTTAACATTTTAGAATGGAACAAATTGCATCGTACAAGCATAAGCTTTAAATTGAGGTATATCATGCCATGGTATAGACATATTACCAACAATGCTGGAAGTAAATCATGACTAAAAATGGGCCTTGCGTTTGACAGTTGATCAAAAGTAAAGAAAACGTTCTTTTTTTACCCAAGGAAGGCTCTCCACTTCACAATTCCCTTGTTGGGGCTGTTAAATAGCGCCTTTATCCCAGCGCAGCATTACAGATAAGCACGTGAATAGAAATAAGCTCATTAATCACCGAGTCAGACATTCTCCGTCTCGTGTGATGACTTCAAGCTCAGTAAGGCACTTATGCTTTCCATGTGCATAATGTTTGAATTAATCGACCCATCCCTGCGCCATAAATTAACACACAGACATATGGAGGCTGTTAAAGCGCATGCAGCCTCTTTAAAAAGTCTGCAGAGTGGACATGCTTTGGCAGCATCAATGTTACATGAGAGGTTACACATTTTGCTTGCATGTGTTGGAAGTCAATCATGTGTCAAAAAGTAAGCGATCAAGGCCAAAAGTGTGGCGTACAGTATATGTAACTTGGCCATTTCCGCTAGCCCCAGCATATGCATCTTGTTTAATGAAATACGATGGTACTTGACACTACCGATTCCAAATTTTGCACACGGACAGATCAGGTTTTCCTCTTTTGAATGACAGGAAGGGGGTAAAACTGGTTCAATATAGCCCGCTCCAAGCTTAAGCAAATCTGGAGGAATTAGTCAACTTTGATATACAGGCAAAAATGCTTTCATATCAGTGACAAATGTGAGATGGATGGGGATTTGTGAAGATCAACGGGGAACGTAAAAGAGAAAGGATTTGAATGGGATCCAAAAACTACAGCTTAAGACCCATATGGCACAGCTGAGGAGTTGCCCCGTTTCGGTCTGTGCCAAGAGCAGCAGAACGAAGCTAAAAGATTTCAACCGTACGATCAAATATCACACATTATACGACCCAAAAAAATGTGTAAGTTGCACTGCGATGTTTGGGATTAAGACTCACGTTTTCTCATTTGAAAGTCTGAATGACAGTTGAATATTCAGGTATTGAAGCAGGTCTCGAGATTGTCATAGAAAGACTGGTCTGAGATGAGTTTTGGAATTCACAAAATAATTCTTAAATCCTTGTCTAGGTCCTAGGAATTTTAGTCCTACTTACTACGTTGATAGACCGTTTAATAGCTACATGGATGGAACACAATATTCATTAGCCTGTACATTTAATTAAGTTAGTTAAGCACACTTTTTGGTAAAACAATAACATTTTGGCTGTTTTTTTGACAAATTAATTATGCTGTTTACTTTTTCATGTCTTGGCTTAAAATGACTGCTGCCCCTCAAGCTGGAAACTAATAAAGGAGGGAAAAAATTATGGGTAGATGTACTTTCAATGAATAAAACATAGTAGTGGCAGAAAGAGATCATTTAAGAGAGAAAGTAATTTCAATATTATCGTTTATCACAATACATATGCCGAGACATGATAGGCCGAGAGACAATGTATGATGCTACTACAGAGTATTTTCTGAGCAAATACAGTATGATGTTCCCGTTTTGTGAGGTAAAGTTAATGCTGCAGCTAAAGATAATTGTTTACCAATATCCTAGCATTCAACAACGCTTAGACAAACAGAAGTCACATGCAGTGCGCTCTAGATCAAATGTATGAAGAAAGTGTAATCCCCCATCTGAATATTTGGGATGAATTACTTCAGAGAGGCGAGGCTGTGTGCAGAGGCAACCATTTACATTTTTAGCAGTGATAACAGATAAGATAAACTTTGTGGATCTCATATCTTGTAAAGTGTGTTTAGAGTCAAATTCTGTGTGGTCCTCTACCAAACACGGTTGAGATTACACACGAAACATCCCATGAATGCTCAGAATCAAAGATATTTATGACCAAAACTGTACAAAAGTTTACTCCAAAAGGTCAGACTGAAATGTTGTGTCTTGCAAACACAAACAGTGAGCGCTCCTGGCGTGTGTCGACATACCTTCTGCTCGATCACGTTGGTGGTGTGGTAGTTCAGGATGGGCCGCAGTCCGTGGGAGTCCTCTGCTGCTGTGGGGTCCAGGCTGTAGTTGAAGGCCACGTAAATTGGAGACAGTTTATCACGAAACTCCTTCTCGCCCTGAAGTCAGACAAACACATTTATCCAGTGAGCAGTGGAGCCAGAGGAAATGCAATAATAATAATAAGTATAATGGATTTATTTCATTTTGAAGCAGGAGTCAGCTCATTAGGTCTGATACAATCCATCACTATAAGATCCCTTTGACGATAAAACTTCGTGGAATTTGTTATTGTATTATTTCTGATCATTAGAGATGAAATATTGAGCTGTAAAGCATGTTTTGAGGCAACTGACAAGCTATTGATAATGATGCCAAATTTTAATGAAAAACTAAAAATATGTTTATCACAATTTCTAATGCAGCAAAGAGAATAAAATAATGTACAGTCGTGTAGGTTCATGTTTTGTTTTCTATTAGCTCTGGACATTGCTAGATCATATCAATAATAATGCAGAAAGAGTGAATTTGTGTTCAAGTTGAGGGAAGTGATGATCCGGGATATTTATGAACATTTTCTGACATTTATGGACATTGATTATCCCACTATATTATTATAAATCTTGTGTTCCAACTGTTTTTGACCAATTGACAACTTTGTGAAGTCTTCCAAGACTTCCAAGACACACCTTTTTCGATTAGCTTTTGATTAGTTTTTACTATTTCATTTTATATATTCTATTTATCTTTTATCATTTATTATATTGCTATTGCTTTTATTCATGTATTGTGTGTTAGTTCATTTTAGTTCCACATTTTAGTGTTTTACTTATTGTAATGGAGCTCTTCGCGAAAATTCACTGTGGTAGACCCGGCCGCTGCTACAAGCCTGCTCATCCTCTACTCATTACACCAGCAAAACGCCCACATCTTATCCACCAATAACCACCAGGGCAGCAAGTTAAAAGCCGGAGACGCCCACTTCCCGGCCTTCTGAAGGTTGCAAAGCCTCCGCCGCCCCACCTCCTCCTTCTCTCATCGAAGCGTGCTTGCCTGCTGCCTCTGCCGTCACCAGTGCCTAGGCCCCGGGGGGGATTATGCGCGCGAGCAAGCGCCGCACTCAACAGCATCTCTCCCGGGCCTAGGGCGCCAAACATACTCAATCAACAAACTTCTAACTGCATTTTCCCTCTTGGGTCTCTCCAAAGTGAATTGTTATCGGATTGTTTTTAGTGTACCCAGTGTTTCCTATGGAGGGGCCCTCTGCACTGGGAGCGGTCTGGGGGGCTGTGGGGGTCGGACTCTTGGGCCTGGTGGGGGCCTGGGGCCTCGGTTTCATGTCTCCTCTAGATCCTGTGTCGTCCCCTGTGGCTACGGGCGGCTCTCTGCTCCTGGTGCAGACGGCTCCTTGGATGACGCTTTTTCAGCTGGTTGCATCTGAACCCTGCCAAGTCTCTCATCATTGTTTTATTGTTTTACTGGTGCTTGTGTGTGTGTCTGTGTGTGTGTGTGTGTGTGTGTGTGTGTGAGAGAGTGTGCATGAGAGCGTGTGTGTGTTTGTGTGTGTGTGTGTGTGTGTGTGTGTCTGTGTGTGTGTGTGTGTGTGTGTGAGAGAGTGTGCATGAGAGCGTGTGTGTGTTTGTCTGTGGTTTGGGGTGGGTCTGTTGGGTGGTCTGGGGGAGGGGTCTTGGGTCGGCGGGATTGTTTTTAACCAAACTGTAAAGCACTTTGTGTTGCATCTTTTGTATAAAAAGCGCTTTATAAATAAAATTTGATTGATTGATTGATTGATTGACTGCTGTTGAGATACATTGAATTGAATATTTCATCTTTATAAAATGCCAGACTCAACGTGGCGGCAGGAGATATAAGCAAACATTGTAGTTGATTGATTGGTTTTAGTTTGATCATCACGTCATCATTTGGTCATCACATAGATCTAACCCCCATTATGAAGATTTTTGTGCAGAAGGAAAATATGAATATGCTTCCCTGTTTTCTGAAACTATGATTCTCGCATCTGCACCTCATTAATTAATTCTTTGGTGTGCGATACCTGCTCTTTCTACAAAAGAAAATATCACAACATTTTCAGTATTACACATCTCTAAATTTCCCACTCTTTCCATTATTGTGTTTCCCTAAATTTCACAAGGATATGGCAAAAAATGCAATGTATCTGAAATAAATGATGGTGTGAAGAACACTTTGAACGTACTCTTAGGTAGATCATCTTGTGGTCACAGGTGCGCTGGCCGTGACGCACTCGGACGCTCTTCTGCAGCCGGGGCAGCTGTGACTCCAGGAACAAAGCCCTCTTCACAGCCCCCTTCTTCTTGTGGTCCCGGCTGTCGAGCTGCACCTCCACCTGGAAGTCTGCAACAAGGAACACACACATATGAGCTGTGTGACCGCGGGAGCCGTGCTTTAGAGCGCAGTAATGACAGGTTTGAAGAGGAGCTTTGCAGAAACAAGTTGGCAATAATGTCATCAACACGTGGAGATAATGGTTACGTGTGGAAAGGGCAGCGTTACAGGTGGGAACAGACTTTTTTATAGGCTTCATTGAAAAAAGGAGGAAGGTAAGTGTTGAATAGTCACTGTACAATGCAAAACGTGATGAAACATAAGTAAAACATTGCTCAAATTTTGGCAAAATAACAAGATTAAGAGGAAATCATAATAATAAAGGCTTGATTGAACACTTTGCATGTTTTGAATTAAGCATAATTGTAGTTCCCCATTGTAGGTTAGATTACAGAAATAAATGGACTTTTGTTTAATTTTCATGTCAGGGTCCTGGCATGAAAAGTTTGGGAACCCCTGGATCAGTTAACCGTAAGTATTTTTTTAATCTATTTGGAATTTAACACAATTTAGTTACATGTGTTTTAGTTACAGTCTATGGTTTTATAGACAAAAGCTACACATTCTTACTGTGAGTGGCCACTCCATGGACCTGACTTGTATCATGGATTAGTAGAATTGTTACTAGAATACAAACTACGGTTATTATTGTGAAATGGTCGTAACTCTGTTGAGACAATAGGCAGGTTAGTAGGGCCCTCCTCAATTATTATTTCATCATGGATCAAAAAACTAAATCAGTTGCATTTGGATTTGTCATATTTAAGACCAGATGTCCATGTCTGCAGTGGGTTTGGAGAAAAATTGAAAATAACTTTGGCAATATTTCAGACTTCTAATCAGAGAGCCAAGTTTTCTCCAATTATTTACAATCTGAGAGAGAGCGAGACACCACCGGACTCTAATTTCTTTCAGATTGTGGATTTATAGAATTACTGATTGATATGATTTAGGAATACGCTTTTAGAGGTGGACTGAAAGTTGCTCAAAAACACTATTGATATAAAACACATGAATCACAAATGAATGAAATGAAAGTAGAAGTGTAGAATGGTCTCACCGAGGACATCTGGGAGGTGCTTTCCTTCGGCTGATAAACAGAAACTCACATTGACGCTGGAGAGGACACAGAGAGGGCACGTTATTCATTTAATCCTGGATGAGCTGCAGTTTAAACACACAATGGAAACAATGGAGCCACTTCATTCTTGTCTTGTTTTGTTGCTTTCTCTGGGCACCTATTTCTGTCTCAGTTTCTTATATTCACTTTTCCCATGAAGAAAGATGACGGAAAATTGTCAATCAGAATTGTACACATGACAATAATATTCATGAGTTTCAAGCCACATATTTTTATTCCTGATTCAAAGACATATGCAAGGATTTTTCATTGCACAAAAGTGTTACTGTATTTAGATTGGAAACGCCTAGTTGCTATGGTGGTAAAAAAGAACTATTGCAACAGCTTGAAACTCATGAACAAATCTCTCAAACAAAACTAACATCCAGTTTGATCGACACGGGAAGTATCATGTGGAGTAATACAATTTGCTCATGAAAATCCATATTGACAAATTTGCATGAAATTTAATGAATTAAAACCTTTTTCTGTTTCTTTTTATTTTTCTATTATTCTGTTGTAAAATTATGTTAATGTTGGTTTTTGGAATAAACATGAAACATGAAAATGAAAAAAAAATGAATTGGAAGACTAAGAGATAGGATTTTCAGGGGAAATGCTGTATGTTTTTGGCAACAAGATAGACTGCCAAGTGTCATGGGACCCTTCGCATAAGCACACACATTCACACACACAAACACACACTCACGCACACACACTCACACACACACACACACACACTTAGTGGACTTAGTGGTGCAAAGATGGGCTGAAGTAGGCACTACTCAGATTTCAGCTTGGGAGCCGTCAATGGCCGTCTTACAGTTAAGCCTCGCTCCCATGACATCAGCTGTGCAACATGCCGAATGCCGAAGCTATCCAAAATATTTGCAATCCCAGTTGTTTTACAAGGGAAGCCACACTACAAGAAACATCAAAAAATGCAACAACAAAAAAAAGAGGGAGTTTGAAAGAGAAACAGATGTCAAAAAACTTCACTGGACAATCTTGCAGATGTTGCACAGAGTTTCAAAATGCTCTGAGAAAATTATGATTTTCTCAGAGCAAGACGACCCATGCCATCTAAGCTTTTTGAAGGCTCATTAAGTGCCTAGATTTTTGCTCTGATTCTTGCGTTGTTTTGTACAGCCACAATGACAATCCACGTTTCCATCGATTAAAGCTGGGGTACCTAACTTTTCCACATAAATAAAACCTTGTGTTTGTCCCAACATGAAGAAGTAAAAGTTGATAAACAAGTCTGACGGTCTTCATCTTATAAGAAAACGTGTACTTGTACGAAAGAGCCCGTTTAGTCACTGTTTGTCTATTTGAGAGCTGATTGGCTGAGAATGTGTGGTCCTCTCTTTTTTACTTTTCTGTCTGAAAAAACGTATATAAAAGACGTGACAGAGGCCTACATGCATGTAAAACTAGTGATAGAAACCAGTTTTGAGAACCAGGAACTAGTTACATGGATTTGATTACATAGATCCATTTTAGTTGTTTGAAAGTTAAATATCCCGGCTTTAAGGAGCAAGCAGGAAGGAAAAATGGGTCAGGAAGACAGTCCGAACAGCCTAATGTATATGCTCCTGGTTCAGTGTGGAGTGCATGTGTCCTGATGTTTCCCAGCTGTGTTCCACCGCTAAACAATATCTCATTCAGACCAAGTGCAGCAGGCCCCTCCCCTCCTCGCTCTTCTCCATTACCGCTTCTGTTCCGTCCGCGCTCTCTTCACCCACGCTAAAAAGTCTTTCATCGTAGAAGAGTTGTGGCTATAGGGACTTTCCTTACAGCAGAGTGAAAATTACCTTGAAATGGTGTTGATATTAGCATTAGTGAACATGCTACATCCTTTTCTAGGAGATATATCTGTGTTCAATTTAGAGCAGTGGTTCTCAATCTCAAACTCTAAAAAGTGCCATGTCCCTGACTCTATATCCCCATTGATGATACTTATAAATGATTCTCCCGACAGAAGGAGTCAGACCACTATATGCTGTTAGATCTTCATCTTGTTAGAAAACATGTTATATTTTTGCATAAACGTAAGAAAGAGCCTTGTGAGTTTTTTTAGTTTGAAGGCAAGGTACCCTTAAAAAATCTGGACAGATAAATGTGTGCAGTACTTCTACCACTTCAAAATTACAATAAAATTCAAAGTGTACATGAACATGAATCTGTGTACATGTACCACCACTTGAGAAACACTGATCTATGGAAAGGGACAACTACAGCAGCCCTGGTAGTTAAATTTTAGACGTAGATTTAGAAGTATATGTTATTGTTTTTAGGACCTGAAGTCGATTAATAGGCCTGGTTTGGGGTTATATTGTTTATGTTATATTGTTTATTCATGTAACTAGTTGCTCGCTCTCAAACTGTCTTCACACATATGTATTTGTGGTCTCTGTCACAGCTTTTTCAGTGAAATGTAAAATACCAGCTCTCACTCACCCTCAGTGTGTAAGTGTTTTCTATAAGTTAAAAACAGCATGCTGTGGTTTGATCTGTTCACAAGACGTCACTAAAACTAGACTCTTTCTGTTGTGGGCAAACAGAATTTCATTTGCTGCAAAGTGATGGAAATGTATGAAAAACAAGTAATTCGATTATTGTCAGTATTAGCATTGGTCTTCTTAAACAGACAGATATTCAGCTGAGTATTCATGAGCTTTTACTGACAATAACATCTTGTGGTTAAAGCCGGGACTTTCTTTTTGGGAGCACTTTTACAGCGGAAGATGTACTTTTGACATCTGCTGTTCATTTCCACAAATCCATTTTTAATAGTTCGCAAGAGTGCCTACTACAAAATAAATTGGAAGCAACTATTCAACAATAAAAACCACATTGGACAGACGAATGCCCAGTCGGGGCTCTATATGCAGCTCGCTATAGTCTCTCTCTGGTATTTGCAGACTCTGAATTCCGTCGGAAAAACAATGCCCCTATTGAGCATTACTTCACCATTTCTACTACCCCTGTGTGCTTTATAACCGGCAGCACAGCAGGTCAGATAAGACCGGTGCTGACTCTAACGTAACGATGAAATAATGCAAGGAAATGTATCTAAAATAAACACGATGAGACGATTTTGACCCAAGGCCCACGGGAAGCAGGGAGTTAGTGTTCTGATAGAGCAGGAACTAACCAGGAAACGGGAATGCTGGCGTTGCCGACGGTGATGACACAGTTTTTCTCCTCCGGGTTGATCATGCCGGGTTGAACCGTCAGAGAGGCTGTGGTGTTGACTATAGGGCGCGACCTGTGGGTGAAGTCAAGGCGCAGATTGGAGACTCGCACAATTATCACTTTCGTTGCGATAAACAAGCTGCGTAATTACACATACACAACTGCAAATAACATACCTATAAAGAACGGCTTTATCGACACCAAAGGCACCCACGATGAGGTCTGAAAGCAATAAAGCCAAATTAGAGCTTCGTGTTTGCAACAAATCTCCAGCGTTGATTGCTAAATGATTGTTTTGCTTACCAGGGTAACCGTTCATGTCCAGGTCCAGAGATCCTCGAAGGGAAAATCCAAAACTGGCGGGAAGGTTTCCTGCCGCCCACTGTCCCACGATCACCTGAGAAGGCTTTTCTCTGAGCCCCTCGGAGAAGCCGTTGTAGATGTATACGAGGCCCTGGTTCTCGTCTCCGCCAAAGGGAGAGCTGATAGCCACATCTGAAATGTAGAAAGAATGTTGAAAGATGAGAATGCGTCATATTTATAGTTTTCTGACATTCATTTGATATATGTTGTCAATATAATAGCAGCAGTTCACAAAAAACAGCTGTTAAACTTAAAGCTGGAGTACATTTCCCTACTGTGGGACAAACTTTTAATCTTAATTTTCCAACATTTTGTTTGCCCCACAGAAAGAAACATGGAAAAGTAAAATATTATGAGCAAATCAGACCACATCATGCCGTCTTAACTTTATTATGTTGTATAAAGGATCTCTTCATCTTAATCTTGTATGAAAGAGCCCAGTGAGTCACTATTTGATGCATTGAACTCAGAGATGATTGGCTGAGTGAGGTTGTTGCTCTCTTTTTCAAATTTCTGTCTGAATAAGCTGATGTGAAGATGTGACTGAGGCCAGAAAATACATGCGAAAACTAGAGATGGAACCAAACCGTTTTGAGAACTGGATGGATTATATTATGGATGGTATTTCATAAATGTTTTGTGGTCTGAAAGTTAGGTACCCCAGCTTTAAATAAGAAGTACATTCATTCCATGACACTATACATTTTGACCAATTGAATGTCAATATTGATCTCATGTTTGCCCCTTCATCATTATGTACTTGTCTTGTGAACACTGGGGACTTTTGAAAATGCATTCCACTGTGGTTTTACAGCAAATGGCAAACATAATGAATCTTAATCTGAATCGTAGATATCCAACCCCAAAATGCTTACATTATCATTGCAGGATTTTCATTCGAGCCAAAACGCCTGTTCAACGCTCCTGTTCAGTGCTGTTTGAACCAGGAATAGACAAAGTAAGTTACCATTGAATCCATCCTGGTTGAGGTCTCCCAACGGTGCGATGGTGTTCCCAAATCGTGCGTAGACCTGAGTGCCGGTGAGGTGAGGTAGGCTGAGCTCCAGTGTGAGTGGAGCGCGCTGCAAGTAAACATAGACCCTCCCCATCTCCTCCAGCCGCCCCCCGGACCCCCGCACCATGAACATCGGGGCTCCCACCAGCAGATCCACCAGCCTGCAGAGCACACAGACCTTAGAGACCCGTATGGCAGATGGTAATCCACCACCAAATATTCTAATCTCCCAATTTACATTCATAACATTAAAAAGAAACATACAGAAGTCACAATATCACTTTATTATACCACTGTCAAGGAGTTTAGGTTGTCATCGTGTCGTTGGTTGGGTATTTGATAGAAAATGTATAATCAAATGTATATCATTGGGCAGTATACATACATAAAGTACATTTAAAGTAGTCTCTAACTAAGATGACAGTAAAGGCTTGTGTGGGAATTTCCATAGGACAACTAGTATTTCCAAATTGCCATTTTCTTTGCTAACATGAGCTGAGTGGATGGCACTCTCGCTTCTCAGCAAGAAGGTTCTGGGTTCGATTCCCAGTCAGAACGGGGTCTTTCTGAGTGGACTTTGCATGTTCTCCCTGTGTGTGTGTTGGTTTCTTCCAGGTGTTCCGGCTTCCCCTACCAGTAAAAACATGGTGTATGTGCCTCCTGTATGGTAACCCCGCTCCCATCTCTGTGTGGAGTGAGAGAAAAATGCCCACACAACAATTAAAAAGCGCTTTGGGATTCCGGTCTGTGAAAGACGCTATATAAATAAAGATTACTTATATTAGAACATTTTACATTTATAATAAACTTTTTCTTAACCAAAAAAGCAACTTAATGTGAATATTCTGAATGTTGGTACAAAACCTGTTATCTTCATCTAGTCTAATTTGTAATTGGTAGCAGAATATACTTAAAATATATAAGAAAAACACTTGCAATTACAGAAAACAATAGAAAATCCTTCAGTTACCCATCACTGTTGATGTCAGTCGTTGCCACAGAATAACCAAAGTAGGATCCCATCTGCAGCAGAAAGCACATCACAATTATACAAATCTTCTCACAAAAGGCCAACAAATTCATGCTAAGTTTATAAATCCATTCACAAATAATTAGCATTGTCTCATATGAGGATTGTGTAGTTTTAATTCCAGAAGCATGTGTGTGCGCTGCCACTGCACTTTATTGCAAACCACTGAAGTGCTCAGAGAAGGCAGTCTTGTAAAGGGAAATAATTGTGCTGCTTACACTGATGCAATAAATTAAATCCACTCAGAAGGAGCCAAGAATAGAAAAAACAGGGTTAGAAAATGAGCCATGTTAACGCTCAAAGAGGTGTCTTGTAGTTTGTGTTACTCCTGGGAGATGAAGAGCACAAGTCAAACCAGTGCTTAGGAACATTCTTCATGGAGACAGTTGAAAAATCAAAAGAAAAAAAAATGGTAAGTAATTTAGTTTTTGGCTCACATACGGAGATGGTTGATAATGGACCCATAGTTATGTACTTGTCTGGTGCACACTGGGGACTTCAGCAAATGTATTCCAATGTGTTTTTACTGCAAATGACAAATAAAATGCATCTGAATCTGTACTTTGTGAACTGTTTTCATGACTTGGGAAAGCCCCTGAGCACAATCAAACTGTGGACAAGAAAGTCAATCAACTTTTCTTTGTGTTACATTTTGTTTTGATATGTACAGATTCATATCATTTTCCTTTTCCTTCATGTGTTATTGTCCTGGACCTGTATGTGTGTGCGTATGTGTGAGTTTGTTTTAGTTTATGTTCTGAAATTCACTTCTAAAAAGGTTGAAAATGTTGTATAAACTATAGTATTTTGTGGTTTACTTTTTACACAGTATATCCCATTACCGTGTAATAGGGCTGCAGGCTATCATTATCAAGACAACATCAAAATAACTACTGGAATAGGTTGATGATCACAACCCTAGAAAGTTGTGATTCTTGCAATTTGCATGATACAAAATTATCTTAGTAACAAACTTACATTTTGTGCAACTTAAAACAATAAAAACAAGATACAAAATAAACCTTTGTATTTCAGATAAAACAATGTTTGCTTGAAGGGATAACAAAAACTCCAAGGCACTTCAACAAGATTCAAGAATGTATTTGCCATTTGCAGTAAAACCACATTGGAAAAACCGTGCAAGACAGCCCCAGTGTGTCCCAGACAGAAAAGACGGCACACACCAGAGCTCTTTCACAGCGCAAGTAAAGTAAAAGAAAATCCCAAATGCTTTAATAGTTTTTGTGTCCCATCCCTGCTCTAAAACATCTTGAAACGATTGTCAGCAATGAAAGGAGAATGTATAAAACTCACTTGCTCGCCTGTGAAGTTTGCCATCATCTTCATGTCTGTTCCGTTCAGAATGTACACCTGCAACACAGCGACATGTGGTGTTCTGATGAGAGCACAGGTCTCTGCAGGGGAGTTTGACTGAGCTACAAAATACACATATACTACTACTCCCACTGTGACACTAGCACTAAGGCCATTCTCTATTTCTTAAACTTTCCTGCATCTCGTCCAAGTATCAAAGCCAGGAGCTTCGACTCTAAGAACACAGTTGAGACTCTAAGCCAAAGAAGCGATCAACTTTTTCTTACCAAACCGTAAAGCATGAGCCCTTTCGGAACGCCAGCAACGAAATCTGAAAAAAATAGAAGGAAAAAAAACAAAGCAGTGATTGAAGAGGTTACAAGTGGCAAAGGGATCAGCGATTTCCAAAAAAAATGACTCCGGTGCAGCGACACGCATAATAACTGTGTAGTTTGTGTGAAATTTATCATCTTTTATTTGGCTTACCTTCTACTTTATCGCCACTAAACTCTCCAACAGCCACAGAGTAACCTGAAAAAGGGCCCAGAAGTCACATTTCAAAATCACATTAGCAAAACAGGCTAATATTTTACATTTTTGATATAAAGTGGAATCATTTTCACAGCTGTTTTGAAAGTATGCAACACTGTCATTTTATAGAAGTTTAGCCGTACTTTGTGTTTTTGTCCTTTAGTTTATGTGTTGTTTAAACCTGGGGTCCTAAACTTTCAAACCGTTACAACATTTTACGTCATAAAATGAGTTTAGTTCAGTCTTTATTTGAAGGGACAATGTACAGAGACATAAAGCTCAAAGACTGATATGTTCTGCACCAGATTGTTGCTAAACAGCTAGTTTCCATCTGCAGTCCCTGGTTACATAAATAAAATACATGGAAACAGTAATGTACCATGTGTAACCTTGCTCTAAAGCAGTTTGGTTCTATCACTTGTTTTCACCAGCATGTATTTCTGGCCTCTCTGTCTGAAAAAGCGGATCTAAAGCTGGTCTAAAGAAAAGACCACCCTCAACAGCTCTCTACAAGGCAAGGATGTTGTCTGATTTGTTCAAAAGACTTTGTTGGGACCAACTACCAAACATGGATTTTTTTTGGACTAGATGAAAGTTGGAAGTTTTGGGAAGACAAATACATGAATAAATAACCTAACCCTAACCCTTATTCTGGTCTTGTGGTTTAATCGGATCTAACCTGATCTTGCTATGAAAGGGATTCACTTATGGCCTCAGTATGGTATGGTAAGGTTTGACAATAGTACTGTATGTGTGACGGTAAACCATATTTTTGATGGACTTCAAAAATAGACATTACAATTCCATTTAGCTTTCATACCTTGATAGCTGTCATCATGCTCAATCTGTTTGGTTTGATTGGTCTGGATCTGCCCGTCCACAGACTGCATGAAATAGCCGGGATAAAACGCTTTGGTGATGTTCTCTTTTGCCGCAGAAATGACTTGACCTGATGTTAACACCAAGAAAAATGGGAAAAGTTGAAAGAGAGATTGAACTTGGGCTTTATGATTTACATGTGCGGCGCTGGTGTGTCCTAGATACCTTGCCAGAAATAGCTGCCTGGTCCTCCCAATACCACCTTTCCATCCTGGAAGATAAAATTTGAATTAGTGCCAAATAAAACTGAGATTAGATTAAGAGATAGATAAGATTTCATGTTTATACAAAATGGTTTTAGCAAAATACCGTGGTGAAGTCAGCACTGAAACCTCCCTGGCAGTAGCCTTGCCCCGCAGCATCACTGATCTCTGAAATGCACATGAGACACATTGTAAGGTAAGATATTTCTTTATTCCTCCCGATATTTCTTTATTCGTCTCCATGAAATTTCAGTGTCATCGCTGCGCACATTAAGGCAGAGAAAAAGAAGGAAATAAGAGCACTGTTATTTAAGATAAGAGCTAATAACATTAAAATAGTAAGTAAAATATAATAACATTCTGGAGCTATTATTGCACTTGGTCCAGAGGTATTTACAGATTTGTATGTTGTACTTTAGCAGCAGAGAATATGAGCAGAATAAACAATAGTAACAATGTCAGCAGGTAACGTGACTATAAATGACAGAAATATCAGATGAATTCACATGTAGTAATGCAGTAATAGTAATAATAACAGCTGAAGTGACTAGTGACTAAGTTAATTATGATCAGTGACACTTGTGCAGACTCAGCAGTTCTCGTTATACAGTCTGACAGCAGCAGGGAGGAAGGGCCTGCGAAACCTCTCTTTCACGCAGCGAGAAGGAGAGGTACAGCACTACATATCCATTGGAGATGTATATTTGATAGAAGTGGCTTAGGCTGTAGAGATAAAACCTTATTAGTGAAAAGTTGGCAGTTCTTTCCCTACTCCCTACTCCTCTGCTGCTAATGAGACAACTGAACCCACAAATCCATAGTTCAAAAGTGGATTAGCATGGTTTCTTTTAACGTGTTTTGTTTAAGTTGTTTATGAATGCAGCTTTTCTCTGTTATAGACCATTAACCAATCATTATTTTGTTCAACATGGAGCAATACATCATTTGGCGCTCAATATATATTATGGATGCATTTTTGTTGCTATATTGGAGAAACGTTGTGTTTTTCATAACTTTAAGATTTTTGCTGATTGGCTGAATAAACATTTACTTCATGTAATTCATATCTCCATTTGAAACTGTTAGAAGCATATTGCTATAGAGAAATATTGCTTGGAGAAATATTGCGGTGTAATGCCATGCCTAGACTATTTCGGCCATTACATTTTACATTTTACTGTCAACAAACAGAGGAGACTGAGAGGTTGGAGCCCAGCCTCTTTTTTAAACTGTTTATTTCTGTTTATTCTGTGTCATGTTCTTATGTTGTATCTTGTCAACGGTTTATAATTTCATTTGCACAATGTTTGAAATGAAAAATCTTAGTTACTTACTTACTTAGACTATCATTTACATAGCTGTAAAACTGTCATGTATAAAACAGGAAAAAGTTGGGACGTCGAGAAGAGTTAGCCACAAATACCGTACCTGTCCGGCAAGGTGCGTACTCCACAAATTTGGTGAAGTTCTGGGCTGAGAGGTAGCAGGTCCCCGTCGCGTCCGAACGGGCCACGTCCTTTTCCGTCCTCCAGGAGTAGAGTGGTGCACAGGCCTGGAGTCATAGCAGAGATGAGGCACAGCAGACAGAAGGGAGGGGGGGCAACAGAGAGGAGAGAGCAGTGATGAATGGTCCTAGATTGCGGGTGGGAGATGTTTTTCCAGTTGCAGGAACAGCTTGGAGAACTCATGAGGGTCCTGAGGCTGAGGTCACCACTCAAACTGAGCAAACAACAGGCTGTTGCACTTTGATATTTCAACTGAAGTCTTTGTATACATGACTAAGCTCATTTTGAAAAACAATTGTCAGTATATGATGACAAATATTGAATGCATTTATTGTTCGTAATTGTGTATAATGACAGGGTTAACAGTTAGCAGCGACGGATTTGGTTCATGATCATTCCCTCCTTGTGTCATAGCAGTCAACTTTACCCTTTAATGTTCACTCCTTGAAGAAAACAATGTGAATATTAGATGTAGGAGCACTAATGATATGTTTTGTTTTTGTTCTAAATGATTGAGATGCAGCTTGATGGTAAACGTGCCTAAAACCGAGTGATAAAGCTGCCTCAAAAAGGTAGATTAGTTGAGCAAACCATTAAAGGGTTAAAGAATGACTGCTTTTAGTTTTAATTCAGGTCTTTTTAAACCACCTTTTCATTAAAACGTTTCATTTTGATGGAAAACCCGCCATACTGTACACGAGCATATTCAAACTTTATAATATTTATCGCACAGTATAAAGTTATGAAAACATGACGAAAGAAATTGGTTGTCGAATATCCAAGAATGTAAACAGGAGCTATACCCATGCCATGCTGTTGTATCTGTCAACATCAATAGACAATGTTGTAGGTTCTTTAAAACTAAATTGTGATTGGACTTAAATTAGATGACTTTTATATGCACAGATTCTGTCAAAAATCTTGTGAAGTCTATTGTGTTGTATGTCTTTGTGTGTACAGTATATATATTCTTTATGTCAAAGCAAGTAAGCAAATACAGATACATTTGATCTTACCAAAATTGTGTCGCCATGGGAACGCACCGTCGCACCAAAGAATTGACGTGACTTGAAATCCACCTGGTGCTCTGTATCGTTGATGGTGACGGTTCGGTCTCCTGAGAACACAACACAAAAAGCGGCAATAAGATATTAGCCACATATTCCGTTTTCATATGACGTTAGGGTTATTTAGAAAACGTTGGCTTGGCTTCAATTGTCACAGCTTAACCCCATGACCCTCGGCTCTGTCTGACCACCTGGCCCGTAACTTAGAACTCCCACTTTGAGACTTTGGGAGCAGCAGGTGACACGACAGATGGCACCAGGACACGGGTTGAAGTTTTGTGTTGAACGATCTCTATGTTACATCTGTGGGATAGTAGTGACAGAAATGCAGACACATTGATTTGGAAGGGAGGTCATATCTGCACCATATGGCTCCGCAAGGGAAGAAGTTGCTGGTTGTCAACAGCTCAATGACGTTATTTTGTTATTATTCTTTATCCAGGGCCAGGTCACGGAGACAGCAGTTTGATCCGAGACTTCCCTGTCCACGTCTGCTCAACCAGGGGAGTGCCAGGTGGACTGAACCAGCATGTACCTCAATGATGGTAAAATGAGTACATTTACCAGGCATAAGAATATGAAGTAGGCTTAAAAAAGTGACTCTATTTTGCGTTGCTTCAAACAGACCTGATCACTTTAAGGTCCCGTCTCTATGTACGTAAATATCAGAAATACATACATTTCTAATAAGGCATGGTTTTTCCCTATGTAAGTAAGTAAGTAAGTAAGTAATTATTTATATACCGCCTTTTCACTGCAGAGCTGAGTCTCAAAGCGGTTTACAATTGTTATTTTTTTGGGCACTTGTCTCTCACTCCACACAGAGATGGGAGCGGGGTCGCCAGTACAGGAGGCGCATGTCAGAACTATTTTACATATTTTTAGCGGTAGGGGAAACCGGAGTACCCGGAGGAAACCTACGCAGACACGGGGAGAACATGCAAACTCCACTCAGAAAGGCCCTGGTCCGACCGGGATTCGAACCCAGGACCTTCTTGCTGAGAGGCGAGAGTGCTATCCACTCAGCCACCGTGCCGCCCACTCTATGCTCTTAAATGCATCTGCTGATTGTGTCTAAATAGGATCCGGTATGCAATTGTACCTGGCCTAGAGATAATTTGATCCAGGTACGCAAATGAGCTGGAATTATACACCTAAATCGCAGCGCATTGGTTCACATGTATCTTGATCCGTCTAATTAAATTGGACTAGGCGGATTTCACTCAACATTTTTCAACACACTCAGCGACTGCAGACACAGCACAGATCCATCAGTCAATCTCACACTCCAACTTCACCTCACTCCCTCCTGAACAAGAGAGAGATACTTGAAGAGAAGAATGTATTACCCATATGTGATATCGGTGGGGAATCCCATAAAGGAACCGCCAGCTTGCTTCTACCTGTCATACAATAACCACATCCACTAACAACAGCTCTGAACTGGACTGAGCTGCATTCATCCTGTCACTACATCACGGATCTGTTACTGTGTTGCTATGTTGCACAAATTCCAAGATTGGTTTAATATTTACACTGGTTTATTTATTTATGGGGATCTTGGGGGTTTTGTACTTTAGATCAAACAATGCAGTGTCCCTGATGCTCTAAACTTAATATTGTATCTCTATGTGAGAAGGACGATTGAATCTTGAATCTTGAACAATGCCTTGGACTTCGATTTATGGTGAAGGTGAAGTTCCTTGCCCTGGGACACAGAAACTATTTACAATATTGCAATGGGATGTGTAAAGATGGATAAAATGCTCTATCGACAAACCCCAACTGGGCCGAAACTTCACTGAGAAAAGAGGATAAGTGGTATTTTTGTGGTTTCAAAATGTTAACACATGGAGAAAAGACCTCTGTGAGTATTGTGTGTTTTATGTTGATGCTGTGTTTGTTCTGCGCTGCTTTATTCTCTGGACTTTGTCAGCAAACCTTCAGAACGGGGAGATCAAACCAGCTGTGTGACCTCAGATCGATTGTTGCGTCTGTTTTCAGCGTTTGAAATAAAGTTTTTGAACAGATTTTGGGAGATTAAGAAAGTTTGCAACGTTTCAACCAAATACCACCCGAAGAGGAATATTTACAGTGTTCATGGCGGTCAGTTTTGTTGTGGTTATGTTACGCAGTCCAACCACAAAACATCGAGTGAAACCAAAGAATGTGAGGAATGTGTGAGCATGAGGAAGTGAGAAATAAGTTTGGATTGACGGTAATCCGGTACTTTGCTTGAATATAACCTAAATATTACTTTTCTTTTTGCAGTGTGGGTCTACACCGTTCAGTGTTATTTTCCAACCATTCGGCCTGGAGAGCTCAGGACTTTGTAGAAACAGCAGAGTGGCCAGAATCCAAAGAAAACACATCGAATTGGACAGGCTTCCTTACAACAATCTCTCAATCACCTCTATTCACTCCTTTGTGTGTTTATTTTTAAAATATAATCTTCATTTTTACAGTCATGACTTTCTCCTCGCACTTTGTCCTGTTGGCTTCTCTGTCCACCGCTCCCAAATGGATCCTGCCCCTAAATAACTTGTGCATATTGCTTGTTAAATCTCCTTCATCGCTATTTGGGGCTGAGATAATTTATCATGAGCCAACAGGAGTCAACTGGGGCCCCAAACGTATTAAGTGATCAAATCTCCATGTGTGAAAATAAGTGATTTAAACATTCTGGCAATAATACAGGCCCCCACATCAAATATCTCCTCGTAGAATTGTTGTGGTAACTAATCTTCTTTAGTGGCACAGCGGCTTTTCCTAAACGTATACCCTGCCTTGATATTTTCATAACTCAAGAGGCCTTTGTTTGCGTAGGATCCAGGGGAAAACGGGCAGGGAAAAAAAGTCTGGGTCACACGTTACCATGGAGACCAGACGTCTAGCGGATGTAAAGGGTCCTTAAAACTCTCACTGCTATCAGTCATCCAGGCGTGTAGAGCGAGAGAGGAGAAACAGAGGGACTTTGAAGGACACATCACGCTAAACTGACCAACACTAGCAAAAAACAGAGAAAATAGCTATGATCATATTTGTATAAAAGCAAAGTCACAGCAAGTGTTCAATATGCTCTAACATTCAGTCCTACAATCAATCAATCAATCACGTTTTATTCATAATACGCTCCCAGAGCAGAGGAGACACTGGGGATACTAAAACAATACAATAAAAAGTAAAATATTGAAATGTCAGAGTAAAAGGACTAAAGCTCAATACAGTATAAGAGTTTTACTTGGACTGGTTTGTGACAGTTTTCTATAAAAAGGTTCCATTATCATTATCAAAATCATTATTATTAACAAAAGTGAAGAATTAATAGTTACTTAATGTAACTTAAGTTCTACGAATAGGTGCGTAGTCCCTTAGGACTTCGCTAGTGGGATATCACTCGTGACCCCCAGGTCACACGCCAGAGAGATCAAAATAATTTGCTCCAATCACCAGCCACCTTCCTCTATAAATGCCCCTGCACAAGGCCGCACCCCCTCTTGAACTCTGCCAAGCCGGGCTGGCCTGATGGGCTCGTAGCTAAGGGACTACGCACCTATTCGTAGAACTTAAGTTACATTAAGTAACTATTAATTCTACGTCATGGTGCTACGTCCCTTAGGACTTCGCTAGTGGGACACAACGCGGAGGCCGTAGGAAAATGTACTCCCAGCAGGCCAGCGAAGGGTGATTGGAGCTCCGCCCGAGCAAGACCCTCACAACGTGAGAGGACTCAGGGCAGAAGAAACAAGCGTGTTACGGGGCCACTCCTACCAAGGATACCCCCACGTAACACAAGCCGTAGGTCATCCGTAGTCACAGGACGCCTCTCCCAAGAGCTCCTGACGTGGACTACCAGACCGACCACACACACAAATGTACCGCACCTGTAGGATGCCTCTCCCAAGAGCTCCTGCACCAGGGCGGAAAATAGACCGAAGGCCCCCCTCAGGGGAGGGACCCAACGGTCTAACTCAGTCCGCTGCACTCAGCACGGAATGGGCCACCGACCGGTCCGACACATCCGAAAGATAAGACCGGACGAAAGAGGAGGACGACGCCCAAGAAGCCGCACGGCAAACGTCCTCGACCGACGCCCCCCTGAGAAGGGCCGTAGAGGCCGCCATCCCACGCGTGGAATGCGACCTGAAACCCACCGGGGGGGCCAGACCCTGCGTCTGATACGCCCGCCGCACCGCCGTGGCGACCCAATGCGCCAGCCGCGCTGAGCCGACAGCGGGGCGCCCCTGTTCTTGGGGCCCAGACACACAAACAGCTGATCACCCGACCTGAATGACGACGTCATGGCCAGGTAATGCCTCAGCATTCTGATAGGACACAGAAGGTGCTGCCGCTCCTCCTCGGGGGAGGCATGCGGCGGCGGGTGGAAAGCCCTAATCCTGATGACTCTCGACCTAAAGGCCGACGTGATGACCTTGGGGAGAAAAGCCGGATTGGGCCACAATTCCACCATGCCGTCGTCCTCTCCAAAGGACAGGCACGACGCATGGACGGAGAGCGCACACAAATCGCCCGCCCTCTTAGCAGACGCCAACGCCAGCAAGAGGGCCGTCTTAAAGGCGATACACTCGGGACTCGCCTCCGCCGCCGGTTCAAAAGGCGGACCCGACAGTCCCCTAAGGACCACCCTGAGGTCCCAAACCGGAGGCGTTCTCTGGAGCGGGGGCCTCCTCCTGCGCGCCCCCCGCAGAAAACGTTTAACCAACGGGTGAGAGCGGGCTGTGAACCCCCCGAACCCGTCGTGACCCGAAGTAATGGCTGCCGCAAACACCGCCAAGGTAGCGACAGCCCTTCCCTTGTCGAAAAGCTCCTGTAGGAATCCCAGGACCCCCTCCAGCGGGCAACACCTGGGATCCCAGGAACGGGAATCGCACCAGACACTGAAAAGCCTCCACCTCGTGGCGTAGGCCCTCACGGTGGACGGCGCCCTCGCTCCCTGAATAGTCTCCACCACCGCAGGGGGAAGACCCAGATCTACGAGGCTCCGCCTCTCAACCTCCAAACCCAGAGCCTGCGGCCGATTATCGGACGT